GATGGAGCCTCCCACCTGCATTGAGCAGTTCTCTCTCTGTCCAGCACTGGGTACAACTCAGTAACTCAGTGTATGGCACAGACCATGGGGAAAATACCTGTTTATTCCTAACAACACGGGAAACAGCATGAGCTGCTAGGGTTTTAATTTAAAAAAAAAAAAAAGAAGTAAGATCAGTGGTACCAGCAAAAATTCTGCAGCTGTATCTCTGAGTGTTTTACATGAATATTGCCATTTTACAACGTTACCTCTGGAGGAAGAAATTTGTGTCTTACTTCAGGAATTGTGGCAAGGCATCATTAACGGGCAGCCCATTTATCTCAGTCTTATTATGCTGCTGATTTGAGAGATGATAAGTACCCTTCAGGATTACTTCAATATGTCGTGGTCAACCCTAAGCTCTCTGCAGGTTCAAATCAAACCCCGATTTATTAAGTGTCTTCATCTTTGTCCCTTTTAACTTCAGCTTGTGTTTTGTCACAGATTTCAGTGGGTGCAGTATTGGCCCTTGGCTGTCAGACTTCAGATGAGTACACTTTTTTTTTATCAGCTGTCTCTTCCCACCATATGCTTACTACAAAATTCATGTCACATCCAGCTTGCAATCTGAGTCTAGATTTGTGCTTTGATTGTTTGCTAACTGAGAATTGCTGTGAAAAGTGGTTTACAATGTAAAATTCTTAGTCAGGCACCGTAAAAAAACCAACAAACAAGTACCGTTTCCTTTCCTTTTAGCTGGACATATTTCCCAAAAGTGAGGGGAGTCACAATACTCTCACAAAGCTAAGCACAAGGAGCAAACCCGCAAGAGAAAAAAAATTGTGTGCCTGCCAAAGCTGTGAATTATTTCTTATCAGATCTTTGGAGTATATCTGGTGGGCACAAAAGTGTAGCTGCACGAGACGCCGCTGTTTGAAAACATAGAGGCTTGGGAGGAATTTCTGGTGTTTGTTCACATACAGATGCACTTCCTGAATTTTGCTAGGCCTTGTGGGTTATTGGTTTAAATATTTCCTAAACAGTGACAGTGCCCAACAGCGGAAACCGAAGCCTCTGGGAGGTGAGCCTGCCCCATGAACGATGTCAAACCAACCTCCAGGCTCCGGGCAGCCTTGTACCGGGTTGAGCAATGACCAAGCCCACTCACCCACTTGCAAAACCAGCAGAAAACCACACTGAAGCTCAGAGTGCCACAGCCTGGCAGAGCAGGGCACGACTTGTCCCACTTCATCATTGTGCACACAAGTGTAACGGCAGCGGAAACTCTGGTTGGGAAAAGGTAGAGACTCGTATCAGGACAATGTGCTCCCCGTGGGGTAATCCCACGCCATGGACTAGCAGCATGTCTCTTGGCAGATTCTTAGCTGTGAGAAGTTTTGCAATATCCTTTCCAGAAAAAAAAACCTAAAATGGCTTTTTGTAAAACCTCCACTGGGTATGCCTGGAGCCTAATTTGCTAAAACTCGTAGGTGGTAGCATGAATATCTGTAGGGGAAATTCAGGGTTTGAGGGCTGCTGCATCATAAATGCCATATGAGTGAAAACACGGGGCCTAATTCTGTCTTAGTTCCATGTGACAGGAGCTGTGGAGTCAGCAGGCGAGAACCCTCCACTTCTGGCTCATTTTGCTCACACAGATCTAAAGTACAAACCCAAATGGATTTTCTCCTCTCTGCCTCAGCTCACGCTTGGCTCCCTGACTTGGGAGTTTCACACACTGCAGAAGTGGGATTTGGCCCGACGAGAGGTTTCACTTCATCTCTCGGCAGATTTGTGGTCTAACACTCCAAGATGTGCAGCATAACACGCTGGCAATCTGTCACTCGCCTGGCTCTCGTCAGCTCCAACAGCTTGCTGAGAGGAAACAGTGCCAAAATAGATGCCAGTCCGACCCGAGGGACTTGAGAAGCATCGCCCGCGGCGTGCAGCCGAAAGCTCTGCCTGTCACAGCACGTGCATTCCTGCTCCACTTGGCTCCTCCATCGAGCCATCAGGCTGGGACCAGCCCTGGGCTTCCCTCGTTACTGTCACAGTTTCCCATTTTAACAAGTCTTCACTGCAAGTTGCCCTCCCGTTGCTGAGGTCTCACGTTGCTGGTCTCTCTGCTCCTCGATGGACCAGTTCCCTTGGCTCAGTGGCTGCCCCTGAACCCCAAGACTGCAATTAGGGCTCTTATCATTTGCGTACCGTGAATAGCTGTGGCTCCCCTCTTGGACAAGCTCTGCATTCCTCGCACTGAAACCTTTAATCAGGCCAAAATATTGGCTTGGAACTGCTTGAAATGGGAATTTGGCGACTCCAGTCTGCAGCTCAGGAATTCCTTGTTCGGTTAGACTTGAAAAGCTGCAGTGCTGGGGATATCTGAGCACAGACTGCAGTGACATTTATTAAATTAGCAGTCTGAGTCTGTTTCTTCAAGAGAACTTATCTAGAGACCACAGGGATCCATGTACATGAAAGGATGTGGTGTGGGTATCTTGCCTCACCATCTGACTACTTTCCAGTAATAACAAGCGCTTACAATACTGACATTGCTGCTAAAAGCAAATCTGTAGAATTATAAAGCATGAATAAATAATTGAGGACATAAACCAGAAAAAAAAAAAAGCCAGATTCAGTATAAACCAAAATGCTGGTGAAACAGCACATCAGTCTCCTCTGCTCTGCAGTGAGGTGGGACATAGAAGAGGATACAAAGCCTCTTCTCAGGGTACTTACTGAAATTCAACCCATGACAGCAGAAAATGATGGCCACTGCTGCAGGGTAACAAGAAATGTGTTTCATCCCTATTAGTTTGTATTTATTATATTCACATGCCTTCCATGAATATCTGAGCCAATGGCAAGTTTAGCCTTGGGACCTGCAGAATTTCAGCATATATGAGAGGATATTTGTGGGAAGCAAATTTACAATTCAGAAATGGAAAAATTTCAGAGGAAACCAATGTCTAAGGACCATCCAACCAAGGAAAAGAAGCAGCACTGAATGATCAGCCTGAATCTTGGCCGTTTTACATTGATTGTAGTAGTTTTGGTTGTAAGCACAGATCCAGGAATTAGCTGTGAGTAACTCTGGGGCAAAGAGCTGCAGAAGCCAAGTCTCCCAAAGCAGCACATGGGCAGCATGCATAAGAAGACAAATTCACCAACTGAGACGTACCTTAAGGGATGCTCAGCCACCTGCAGCCATCATCTCAGGAGGGTTTAAGAAATGCACTGGCAGGCCTCAGTCCAGGATGTCGCTGCCCATTGAAGCCCATCAGTAAGATCTTCTGTGCAAAGGCTGAGTATGACAATGAAGAGGAGTGTAAATCACTGCCACAGCAAGAGTTTTTCTGCTGCTACCCATACCAGCTTGTCTTTGACCAAGGTGACAATTGCCATTCTCCTGGGCTGTCCTGGCACAAACCAGGGCTCTCAGCCTCCCAGCACCGCGAGCGCTTCGTCTCCTGTCTGTGAGCTGAGTTTGCCCTCTGCTGTTTGCTGAATAGACTGTTCCCTCTGCTTTATCCAAAACAGGAGGGTAAGAACAGCAAGACCTGAAGAACCAGAATGGTTACCCCCAGATTTCAAATACTTAAACTTAATAACTGTGACGCTTTTAAAAAGTGACACCCACAAAGGTGGAAAAGCCTTATCTGAGACTTTAGCATACACTTCCTTTATATTCTCAAGCTTTTCTTTATAATCACAAAGACCAGAACCCCCCTTTTTTTTTCATTTCTCCCTAAATAAAAGCCAATATTCAGAATTAAGCCCCCTGCACCCTTGAAACCAGGGATTCAGGTGTGACAGAGAGCACTGCTGAGAGCAGGATCAAAGGCTGGATGAGCCCACAGAGGAAGGTGTGAGGAGGGTGCCCTGGGATGATGAGAGGTGCCCTGTGATGAGGACTCAGGTCTGCTTTCTCCCCCTGCTCTGGCACCATGTTCTCTCTCCATCCCAGAACTGCAGCTCTGCTTCCACCTGGTCCCCAGGTTGGTCGCTGCCCTTTGCTGCCCTGCCCTCCCCTCTGCAGCCATCCAGCCCCAGGAGCAGTCATTGCCAGGATGCCAGGCGCCCTGGAAAGGACACAAGGGCTTGTCAAGAAAGCTGCTGGCTTCTTGCCACGTGTTTGCAAACTGAGATCAGCCTTCAGGCTCCTCTTGTTGCTGTTTGTTTTCTCCTCTGCTCCTAACAGCCTCTCCCTGTGCTGTCGCTACTGTCGCCCTGCAAAGAGGGGCTCAAACAAAGGTGTGGTGATGGTTGGTGGCCAACTCGGCTGGTGGGACTCCTTTGGACGTCCTCCTGTGCCTCCCAGCTCTCATGGGCAGGGCAGGGACTGACCTGATGCTTGTTTCAGAAGAACTTGTGCATTCCCAGCTGGTACCAGGGAGCTGGTGCGGGTGGATGGCTCAGCCCAGGGAAGGAGCATCGACTGGGATGTTCAGTGCTGAGATCTTTCTCACACCTCTCTTTGGAGGTGTCTTCTGGGATTAGCCACTGTAGAAAGACTGCAGCCCTCCCACAGGTCATCTCTAAAGTGCTTCTCTAGGTGCTTTTGCACAGCTCCTAAGCGGACACTTTGGTCCATGCATGGATGAGGCTTCAAAAGGTAAGTGTTAACCAGACAGTAACAGGGGACATGGGAGGGAGCTGACTTTCTTGATTCTCTGATCATACTGTTGTTGCCTCAAGTGGGCACATCAGACTCCAGAGCACCTGGGGCAGCTCTTCAGGGTGTACTGACCCAGAGCAGGGCTCACACCAACTGTGTCATATCCCCGTCTCTCCCCACGACTCCTTCACTAGGGTGAGAAAATTAACGTTAACGGGGAACATTTGCAAACACCACAGAAATGTAAATGATGAGGGTCTTTGTGGGCAATTATAGATGAGAAGAAAAAAAAAAAAGGCATAAATGACCCAAGCTGTTCTCAAAGGGCAGCAATGACTATTCCTTTTGCATGGTTATTTCAGACACAGGTATCAAGTAAGCAGAGCTCTAGCACAGCTGAAAGATGGATAAGAGTTTCGCATCTGGAGAATCAGATCCTCTGTCTGGTACGTGGGTAATGAGCTTCCATTTTCCTCTGTGTGGTCATAGCAGAGACTTGGATAACTTTATTTTAAACCAAGGATTTATCTCCTACTGAAAGACTTTAATGCTTAGTTTAATCTGGGTTGCATGACTTCAGACACAATGGAGCAAATGTTTTGAAGTTTGGGGAGTGTTGGACAGTTTTGTAACCGTGCTTGTAGCTCTTGCAGCAACACCAAGACTCCCCATTTCAGGCTGCTTTCTAACAGAAACCTATGAATCTTCCTCAGCCTGAAAGTCATCAAGACTCAATTACTGTTGAATGTATGCAGTAAGTTCACACTAGGAGCTTCTCTCTGTCTGATGTGTTGCTTTGTTTCTTTAGTAAAAAGACACGAGCCATTCTTACGCTCACAAATAATCCTGTATGGGGCTTTTTTGTAAGTAAATACTACCACCAAATAGGACTGAATTGGAAAATTCAGCTCCGTCTTTCTTAAATACATGCGAAACTACCAGCTAATATGAGTGAGGATTTTGCTGAATAAGCACTAACTCAGCTCAAAGAGCGTTACCTCTGGCAGAACTAAGCACACGCTGAAAACAAGCCGTATATAAAAGCAGTCTAGACACAATTTTTTGGGAGCAATTTCGTGTTTCAGCCACCAGCTCTATAATCTATTCTGGGTTGGGCACGAGGGCAAATTGTCTATAGTGAAGACACATGTGAAGAGATGCTAAAACACGTCTTTCATCTCTCACTTCCACAGATGTGGCTTCGGCTTGGAAGAGTCTTCGGAGAGCCCAAGCAGTGGTACGTGTGGTTCAGGGAACACTTGCTGTCACATAACTTTGTCACTCTCTATCAGCTATCCAGGCATCGCCTCCACAGAGCTAGTTTGCATGGATGTATGTAAAGATGCCATTTTATTTGTTCTTTTGCACTGAACATGTAACCTCTTTAATCATTTGCGAAATGACAAAAAGAGGATAAGAAGAAAAGCAAAGAATCTTACCAATTTTCACAACACTTCAAAATTAATGACAAGAACAGATCAAAGTTTGCTTTGCTCGTGGTTGCAGCCCTGAGCAGAGTAATAGCTGACGCTCGCTGAGCTGGGACATCCTCTGAATTCTCCCTGTCGTACTGTCCTCTTCCTAGGAAACATAATAATGTTTATATCAGGCACAGCAGCTGCAATCTTAACAGTGAAATTACTTGGATGAACGCATAATATTATCTAAATGCATCCAGTGCTGCTTGTGCAGTCAAGACCTGACACTATTATCACACTGTTGAAGCTGCTCTTGGCTGAGGTTACTTCCAGCTTATGTTGTTTTTCAAAACATCAGAGCAGCTCTGGTAAAAATCCGAGGCACACATACATACAACGTGTAAATAATGGAGAGAGGTGATTTCATCTCTTATCTCCCCAGTCCATTGCATTCTTTCCAACTGTAGGAAATACCACATGGAACATGCTCAGACATGCCAGTATTTACAGAGTAACTAGGAGCTGCAAAATTAATCAGAGAAGCAGTGTATGCCAGCAAAAGGCTACCATGGAAAAAAAAAACATATGTCTCCCTTCAAAAGAAAACTCTGCCTTTTCACAGCTACAAAGGATTGAAAACAAATTTTATCATCAAACGTGGAGTTGTGCCAAATCCCAGGCAGCCAGAAGAAAGCTTTGGCATGAAAAAAGCTTTGGTGAGTTCTGGGTTACTGGGAAACTGCTGAGACAGGGGGCTGCTTCGGTGCTGGAGGGAAGGGCAGGTGATAAAAGATGCTGGAAGGCCCTCTTCCATTGAAGAAAGCGTATATTTTCAGCTATCTACTAATGCTGCTGGAAGAATCTCACAATGCACAATGCTTTTTGCTGGAGAGAGTTCAGGCAAAAGATGCAGCCTTAGTTCACACCAGCTACAGCAAAGTAAACGCCACCAGTGTTTAACCTCTGACTTTTTTTTTCCTAGAGATAACTGAAGTGATGTAAATACAGACTTTTGTTCATTTACTTTTGCAGGAAATACATAATATGTTTTTAATAATCTCTAAAAGACAAAGTGGGATAAGAAAAAAGCAGGAAATTGAAGCAAATTACACAAGACTCTTAAAAACTAACGACAAGAGCAAACTTCACTTGTTTTTATTTTTGCATCGGCTGGGTGTTCGGTTTTGAGAGTGGCTGGGAACAGCTTAGGCTGCCAGTCTTTAAATTTACGGATGCCATTTCCTCTCTGAGCAGCAGGGCTTGGTACCACGCTTACGGGGATGGCTCACTGGACCCTGCTCTCAGTAACAAGGACTAGCAAGAAAGGTGTGTTGGGTCCCTCTGTCAGAAGCTCTGCTGGAGCTCGTGGGTTTGCACACGAATCTTTTTTCTTGCTCCCAAGCCATTTGAACTAGGGAAGGAAAGATGAGATGAATGTTTGTCACTGGGTTTAAATGACATGGGGCACGATGTGACCAGGTGGAGCACGTACTATGGTGCTCGAGTAGCTGGGACACAGGGTACCAAAGGCAGCACGAGTTTCTGTGCAAGCTGGTAACCAAATCCTCAGTGTAACCCACAGACCCGGGTGCATGGAAAGAGATTACACAGAGATTTTTACACCAAAGGACAAACTCTCCCTTTTCCATCCCAGAACTGCAATGCTGGCAGATTTGTTACCAAGTATGAAGGGAATTGTACCCAGGTGCCCAAAGAGCCAGATTTGGTTGGGGAAGAGTCCTTGGTAAAATGAACCAGTTTAATTTCATGGTTAAGGAACCTTTTTGACATTCTGTCATTGACATGATTTTGCTTCACCGTAGATGGCCAGAGGAACAGAGATGAAACAGCTTTGAATGAGAAAAAGAGCCATGAGATTCCTCCAGCCTGCAGGTAAATAATAACCCTAGTGTGCAGCACTTGGTGGATGAGGAGGCAAAGGCACATGTGAAAGGATTTAAAATTCTGGGATGCTGGACTTTTTCTAAAGTTTAGCTATTTACTGTTTATTAGAAAAACAGAAAAAGTCACCAGACAGTTTCACCCTTGGAAATGCTGACCCATAAACCAGTGGAACAAGCCAATGCCCTGACATCAGTTCTCCATGTCAGCCTGGCTGCCCTTGCTCATAGTAACTCTTACCAGACCATGGTGCACTTTGCACTTTCCCAATATTATCTTCATTTGCCAAACTGTTGGTGACGGGCAAAATGCTGATGCTGTAGAAACACTGAGATCACCATCAGAGCATGTTCTAGAAACTCAACTGTCATTCATACTAGCTGTCTATTGAATAATTTAATAATACACTCTACGTATTCAGTCTTGTTTTTCTTTTTCTTAAGAAAGGGGAACTGTGCTGCTCTCTCCCCTGCTTGGACACAGACCTGTTTCCTTGAGAGCCCTGCCGTGGGCTCTGGCCCACCCAGAATGACCCCTCTGTCCCCCCGGGGAGGCTCCCGCTCAGCACCGTGCAGCCCTGCCAGGAGGGAGGCTGCGGAGGGCGAAGGCACAGCTGGGACACGATCTCCTGCAAAGAGCCTGTACAGACCAAGATGGGACAACTTCAGGGAGCAGGCAGGTTCAAGGGCTTGCAGAGTAGAAAAGGAAAAATCTCCCTTCTCTCTGCATCACCCATCTCCCTGCCCTGCAGGGAGCAGTCCATTCTCCGCTGTCCCATACGGCAGCTGGAATAACGCTCCTGTGCCCACGGCTGTCCTGGTTCCTACACACCACCTTCCATCAGCCAGCAGAGCCAGGGATCAGAAGCTCAAAGAGTTACGGAAAAAATCACCCCAAAAGAAGTTAGAACAACTCAAGAAGAGAATCCAGGAGCAGAAGCAAAAGCAGCAAACAGTATCTCAGGAGCGTCTGATTTCTGCTGATGGTCAAGGGCCACCCCAAAGAAGAGCCCTGAAGAGGAAGGTGTGCAGGGTGGCCTCTGCTCCTCCTGCTCCAGGTCACAGAGGTCAGTAGCAGTCTGGCGTCTGTGGAGAAAGGCTGAAACCCTGTATTACCCAGCAGTGCTGAATAACTAACCCCACAGCTTCCACCTCACGCTTTGGCTTATGTTGGGTAGCAACTATGTTAATGCGATAAATTAATTTACTTCTGCAGCCCCCGGGGGAGCTGTAAACTTCCCTGTGCTGTACATCTCAACCTGCTCACAGAGGTCACTTCTCCACTGGATTTACTCCCCGGCACACACAAATTTATCAGTTTCTTTCCACAAAATAGTAAAGAATTTGCTGCAAATATATTCTTTTCTCCCCTTTCCTCCCACATTCTTCCTTTTGCCGCATATAAAGCATGAAATGGGAAATAGCAGCCCAGCAGTGTGGAGAGGCATCACAGGTATTTAAAGCAGGAATTGTGTAGTTCAGAGGCATTACAGGGGATTTCACAGTTCATTCAGTGGAACTAGTGTGGATCTGAAAGAAAATATTATTAGACTTCCTTATCCTGCTTTTGCTGCTAAATTTGGGGCCGAAGTACCATTCACCTACAGCTGCCGCTTCAGTTTAGTGTGATTTAAGATCTGAGGTTGCTGTGAGTAACACATGGGCTCGAGAGCAAGGGCTGCCTATGACTTGCCCGGTCACCCTGCCTGCTTGGCAAGCTCTTCAGCCAACGGGGGATTACTGAGGGTGTATTAGACTGGAGAAGAGGAGCTGAAAAGCTGTACACAACAAATCTTATTGCTATAATAGCATTAGTGTTAATTCATCGGGCGCTATGATCCTTGTCACACCCCACCAGCTTCCACGGGCATTTCCCTTCGATTTGCTCCGAATCACCTTTTAGAGGGAGGTATGGAAGTATTTAATGGCGTGTGGGTCTGTGGGAGCACACATCCTGCTGCCATCTCCCCTTTTCAGCTGGATCAGGCAGTGCCTTCTGTCGTCGCTGCGCAGCGTTACCCCTCCTAATACCCAGGAGCCAAAGCCCCAATCCCTGCTGAGCCTCTTCTGAACGGCTCGTTTAAGGTGTTTTTAACGCAGATCATTTTACATAACTGAGTTAGGGAAATGCCAGACAAATGGTTCAATTTGCAGAACAGAGGCAGCCTCTGACGCTGCAGATTAACAGCTCCAGGCACAGGGGTTCGGATGCAGCTTGTTCAGTTTGTCTGACTGCAGTTTACCATTGACAGAAGTGTGTCACAGCTGCTTTGCCAGATATTGCCTCCGTCAGATCTCTGCAGCCTGGCCGAGGAAGCCAGCTTCTGCTTTGCTTCATTTTTCTGTGTTTGGTCTGTTGGTGAGAGCAGTCATGTCTGCAGTTTGATTTTAGCTGCATACTAATTTTACTTTATTTATTTTTTTTCCCTTCTGATTAAAGACCAAAGAGAGAGAAGCTCAGCATGGAGAATTCAAACACAGAGTCAGAGGCAGCCTTCACCCAAGTCCTCTCCTCTGGAGAGAGCAGCGAAAGATAAACGTAAGGATGAAAATCAGGAGAAGTTACACAAATTGAGAGACAAAAGTACTGGAGGTCGGTGGCACCTGAGCACTCATCTGTCAAAATCTTTAGCTGGTTATTAAAATAATACCAAATCCTAGGAGCAAGGCCTAGTTATACCAAGCAGGTAACAAAGAAAACCGCTGAGGGAACAGACAAAAAGCAGCATTTGTTCAAGGAGGTGGAAGGTGACCAGTGTGACCAGTGGCAGCACAAGGACACAAGGCTGAGTTCCTAGGTTAGCTGCTACCCCTTTCTGTCACTGAAACAGAAGTCATACACCCTAGGTGGGAAGAGCTGTTGGTCACCTATTCAGTTCTGTATTTCCTAATGAATTAAGAGTGCCACCAAAAGGCAGGGATTTCCTGGCCTGCAAAACAGGGATCGAATCAAAATAGTGAAAAATCAGTTGAATTATCCACAGTTTTACTACAAAATCAACAGCAGGACTAGGAATCCCAATCACTAGTTCTCAGTTTTCTTTGACTGGTATGTCTACGTGCAGATATTAATTACTGGAACGATTTTACCCATTTAATGCTATTACTTTGCATCAGAAATGGTTGTAATCAGGCTTCATGGGGAACAAGACAAATAGTGGAAATGCTATGCACGCTGCTCTCTCCAAGTGCTTGTGTTTTACACCAGCCAAGGGACTAGACATGTAACTTGTGTGAAACAGGAAGAAAAAACTCCAAGCTACCTACTACCATGCAGATGAAATTATGAGCATAGTGGCATCATGTACTCTGATACCTAAGTACTATTTAAAATGCATGAAATATATAATAATTTCCTTCTCCCTCCTTTTTTTTTTTTTTTGTTTTAATGGATTGTTTGAAAAATGGCTTGATCTTCCTCTGAGAGTGGGTCATAATAAGACCATGCCACATGAAGCATTCATCATTGTAACTGCCAGTGTCATGGTGTCTTTATTGGCTATTAGTTTCTGTCAGTGAAAGAGCCAAGGCAGGGCTACAAAGAGATGAATGAGGGGCAGAGGTCAGAGCCAGAGTACTCAGGAATTTGATGAATTATAAAATTGCTGTAGTTAACAAAAAATTAAGTCACAACAGCCATAAAATATTCATCTGTTCATCGGCAGAAAAAAACCAGGAGGATATTTAAATCAAAACATTTTCTTCTAGCAAGTGTTTTCATCAGAATGCAGCCTGCTAGTGAACTTCAGCATCATAGTTTCTGTAGTTAATAAACACTCTGTAGATAAAAAAAAAAGATTTAATTGAAATCAGACAAGATGGTGAAGTTCTGAAGATTTTTATATCTACATATAATTTGTCAGTTGCATTCGGAGAAACTAAGACAGCGTAAAAATAACCTAACTGTAACATACTGCATTTTTAATGCTGCTAAACTAGAAAACAAAGTAATACAGCAACGTGTTTCATTAAAAACACTGATGGATCTCAGCTGTCCCAAGTCCAACAAATTTTGGCAATTCCACCTGTGGCTCCTGCTGTCAGACACCGAACTGCACAGATCTAGTGAATAATTCCTCTGACGGCTTCCCAAGTAAGGCCACATGATTATAGGCAGTGACTTCAACCCCACAGAGAGGGAAGCTCTTCCCTCTCTTAAAAACATCATTTCTTTCGTGACATGACCTAAACTGCATGACTAAGATGAGCTTCTAGAACATCTCAAAGTCTGCTGCAAATTCTGCTGATGCAGGTGGTGTGACTCCACCAGTGGCCATGGAGCCCAAGGCAGTTGGTGGAGGAGATGTTGCCTTACAGCGGTTGTTCACAGAGCAAAGGGGAATCTCAGGACAATCCCATTAACCAGTGAATTTCTGGAAATGCTTCGTGTCCAGCAGCTGGTTCTCAGAGGTGCTGCACACTCAGCTCAGCCCACAGACAACTTTTACTGAACAGAATCTAGAAAAGCCTGACTCGGTCAGTTGACTGAGGACTGAACCACATCTTTGACCTGAGGCTGATACTGACTTAAGAGTAAAATCTTCTCTTTAATAAAAAAGCTTGAATGTTTTCACTGGGGGAGAATTTGGTGAGGAGGATTTCCACGCAAAAAACAAATAAGTACCTGTTCAGTCACCTCCTGCTGGAGAAGTGTTTGCAATAAATACATAATTATGCCAGTGCAAGTATTGGCATGCTGTGAATGCAATCTGAAATTATGAAGTAAAACAGTGATAAATGTTGTCTATTATGTGACACCGCCTATTAAGCAAGAATAATTTGTTTGTGCTCCATACTGTATCATTTATTTTTGCATTATACATTGTCCCTCGTCCTGTATCGTTCATTGATTCTTCTGCACTGCATCCTGCTGATTCTCACCAGTTTAAAAAAGAATTACTCTAGTGAGTTTGAAGTAATCACAAGGAAAATCACATTTTTTGTTATCCTCCTCCTTCCAGTTCTCAAATCTGCTGGTACCCAGTAAGTACCAGCTGTCTGCAGCTGCCATCCGAGAAGGATGCTCTCAGACACTCTTAGGTCAGTGTCTCAACCTTCTCCTAGGGTGCTTGGGGACTCTAAGAGTCAACGGTTACTGAGTAAAACTTGTAAGAATTGTGTGAACATGCTACAACTGTTAAATTATGTAAATGTTAATGGTAAAGCCTTAGGAAATCACTGAACCTTCATGTGTTTCTCTTGTCTGATTCATGACCCAGCTCTCTGCCAGTCGGTGAACAGACACTTGCAGAGTGACAGTGTCCAAAGTTTAGTGCTTTAAAAACTTTTTGTTATTGAAGTAGCATCAACTTTTTTTAAACCTGCTCTGACTGAAGCTTTTTATTTCTCCCCACACTTTGTGCACGATTCCTGGAAATCACCATTAAAAAGCTTTATGTTAGTTACCATTTTCTTTCAAAGAACACGTGAGGGTTTAATAATGAAATACAAATCCTCTGTTTCAGGTGTGAAGCTGCCTGGTGCTTCTGCATGGAGAGAAGGTCAGAAGCTAGCTAGAAAGCTGCTTGGTCCACCTCCTACCTTTCCAAATCTGAGGAGCACAGCTGGAGAGCAAACCACAGCGAATATCTTTGGTACAGTTGCCTCTCCACTACACTAGTTGTTTTGGCACACACGCACTAAAGTGCTTTATTAAAACTAGTTGAAACAAAAGGTTTAGTGACTCTTGAGATAACTCACTTATCAGGTTAACAACCACCCAGAACAATTACTAAAGCTGTTGTCCATGGTCAGCTGGAACAATGAATCCACTGTGGTTTTGAGGAGACAATGCAAATGCACTGTGTCCTTAAAATAAGACATGTCTGGGTCGTGACACAAGCTGTGTCTCCCTAGCAGAGACACAGCATCAGCTCCATGTCCTGCTCATTTTCTGCTGGCCACTGTGCTCTCATTGTGCTACACTGACAAGCAGAAGAGGTTCATGAGATAAAGGGTTTCACTGCCCATATATATTACATTCTGAAGGGCCACAAACCACATCACCTGTACAATTGGCACTGCAACTTTAAATTTGACACTTAGGGATTTGTCTTCTTAGGACATGGCACATTTTACAACAGATGTACAAGCCTGGGCTACACATGCAAATAGTCCTCGGGCACATAATAGGAAGCAGGTTTCGAGATGCACATGGTAGATACAGTAATTGATACATCTCTGAAGTAATAACAGCACTATTCTTACAAAATGCTTTCCACAGAACCTGGTAGAAGATCTGTATCTATGGCAAACAGCTTCAGAGGAAAGGGAAAAGAACCTGTGGGGAAAAGCCCTGAATTCAGAAGCTGTGTGGTGCCCCAGAGCAAGCCGATTGAAAGGGGCAGCAACGCACCAACCAAGGATATGAAACAAATCCTCAGGAACCTGCATTTGCAAAGCCAGTGTCATGATGATCACAGACATACCAGGCTCCCAAAAGACACTCTGAAAGGAAAGGTAGAAGTTCTGCAGCAATACCTAGGGATCCATGCTCCTTCACCTGGACCTCAGGCCATAACTTCTTCTGCCTTCAGCGGGGAAAAGACACAATCTTCATTAATGAAAGACAGAGCCAAGCCCAGCAGCTCAGGAAACTGCTGCAGAGGAAAAAGTGCATCTCCTCAGAGGCAGAAAGGCTCAAGCAGCCCTGCACAGAAAGGGTCTGAGAAAGAAAACCTTAAGTACCCTTCAAGGAGGAGGCTAAACATTAAAAAACCTCACCCCTACAGCCCTGAAATTGTTCAGGAATTTATGTATCGAAAGAAGGAAGAAAGAAGGAAAAAAAGCCTAGAAGAGAAAAAGTCTTTGGTGCAGGCCACGGAGATGAGAAATAAGAGATTGCAAGAAGTATATAGGAAACAGAAAGAAGCTATTGGAAAGAAAATACGTTCTGACCAGCTGTGCAGGCTCATCAGGGAAACAGCTTCTGCAAAAGGAAGTCCTCAGTGTAAACTTGAGCAAGTAAGTCATAAAGGAGTGGCAGATTGAAAACCCTCCAGTACAGCAGCATGTAGGAGATTAAACACTTCATATAAATGCTTTGAAATGTCAGGGAGGAAAAGTTTTATCTGGAAAAAATAGAGCAATTAACTTCTAATTATGGCAAGAACTGCCGCGCGCGTTAGTAAGGCTGGAACCCTTGACTTTGGGGTCAAAAGGCTAGAAATCGTCATTGCTTGAGCTAAAAGAACAGGTTGGTTGTTTCATGCATGCAGTTTTCTGGTTACATGAACTGATTATTAAGCGGAACAAAAGTCAAACATTACCCTCACGTTGCCTAGCTATTTAGTGCTTTTACTAATGGTCCCTTCTGTTTCAGGAGCACACCAATGGTGGAATCCTGGAGAGCAATTTCAAGGCCTGTGTGGATAAACCACCGTGTATTCTATTAAGTAAAGATCACAGAAGCAGGTATTCAGCCATAAAAAGCATCCTAGAAAGCCTCTTTCTCAGCACATACAGCAGACTTCTCCTAGTATTCTGTTGTAAACTATAAATAATAGAGCAATGGTCTAGTTTACTGTCATGTCTCACCTTAAAATCAGCCTGACTGCAGTTATGGAACCTGGGAGCATCTGGGAGTGCTTTTGAGCAGGGAATGACACCGATGCTCTGGCTCTCCAGACTGAGGCAAACTTTTCAGCCTACTTTTCTGCTTTGTATTTTTTAAATAATAATAATTCCTTGCCAGCCCCAGGCTGATTCTTCTCTGCATCTGTCAGCACTTCATGCTCCATCCTCAATTTATCATTTGACAAATATATCTACAGACAGGGAAGTCTGTTTTTCTTTTGCGAAGCACTTTAGCTGAGGATACTGGTCTGTGCAGAAAGCTACTGTGACTTTGTCTTTATAATGTGATACGTCTCCTTTTTGTTTAAACAGGAATCAACTTCTATATACGGCTCAATCACCTAAAAAAAGAGCAGAATTAGCTTCTCCAGCACCACTGGAGTCTGAATGCTGTTTTTTCAGTCCTCTGAAATGTGAAGACCTGAGGGGCTGCTCTCCCCCAGCTCTGCAAACACCTCCTCTGAGCTTTTCCCTTCCCCAAAAAGATGCAAAATCTTACTCCCAGGACTTGAGTTCTGATCTTTCTCCATACAGAAGCAAACAGGATCGAGTGAAAGCCTTACATAGTCTATCCAAGGAACTTGCAGAAAAGATTGAGGTGGCAACTAAGAGACTGAATGCAGCAAGCTGGGTTAAAGACTCTGCTGACAAAACATCAACAGAAACAACTTTGGACCTTTACAATGAGTCATTTTCCATCCCAGAGCCTGAGACATCCAAGGATGAGCAAGACAGGACAATGACTATACAAATGCTTCTGGACGCCCCAGATCCTGGTGTGTTACGTCATGGACAGGGCAGGATTAGCCTTGTGGGTATCACTGAGGGACCAACAGCCCCAGACAGACAGAAGGAAATGCCCACTCCTTTGCCTGGTGGGAGCTCTGTGAGCAAAGAACTACCATGGATCACTCGTGGTGCAGGACAGAGGCACCTCAAGACTGAAGAAGACCTGATCAAGGCATTGCAAGGTAGATCATATTGACACGATGCAAGTGAGGCTCGGATGCCATAGCCCAACTCTTTCAAAGCTACAAAGCAGTGTTTAAACCTGATTCCCCTTGGAAGTGCTGTGTCTTGGAAAATCCCTGCGCAGTAGGTCCTCTAGGCTGTATCCATACTGCTCAGAGGGAGCAGTCGCTGGAGCCATGAGTGTTTGCAGGCTTGTTCTCTGCCCAGCTCACAAATTTAAGGCCAAGAAGGGTCAGAGGTGCCCTCAGCAAGCGGCTCAGGCAGCCCAGAGACCTTCTAGCAGCAGCAAGTATGAGCACCACTCCATGTGCTGTTCAGAATCTTTACATTAGTAGGGCAGAACCATAAAATTACAGCAAATCTCAGCAAAAACTCAGGAGGTTGCCAGAATCTTGGTAGTGACTGACTTCTCTTATGTATCTGTTTGATTAGCACTGAAAAGTCCATCAGTCCCCCTGTGAGAGATGGGACTGGAATAGAGATTATCACATTAAGAAGTAATGATCTATCTTAGGTAATGATCTAATTACTTTCTTCTCCTCTCGTTGTGCCTGTGAAACTACATCTCTTCATTTTATCTGTGGCTTTGCCATTGATTTTGGACACATCACTTCACCTTCTGGTGCTTAGGCTTTCCCAGAAGTAAGAAAGGAATTGTAAGCCTAACCCCACAGGCTTAGAAATCTGTGGATAAGAAGAGCTATATGGAAGTTAAGTGCTCACACATAAATAGGCAGAGAATAGATGCCAAAGCTTGGGCCATTTCATTTCTACAAAGAGCATATTTATTAAATGCCTTCATTTGTCTTTTTAAAAGGTTTTCCTGTGAATAAGGGCTCCGGGGTGGACATAAGCCTATTGCACGAAAAGCCAATAACCAGCCCAGCCTCTCCATCTCACCGATTCCTCGCTAGAAGGTAAACAAATTTGGATATATTATTCTCTGTTAAATGCGCCACACACACACGTAGTTAAAATAAATAGCCCCAATTCAGCATGGAGCCAGGCTGCTCCTTACTCCTTACCCAGCAAATTGCCAAGTAGGCAGATTTTGACACAAGATATACTGAAAGAGGGAACCACCTATTTGTAGAGAGCTGGAAGATCAATAGGAAAGGTTCAGCTGGGTGGTTGGGTTTTTTTTTTTGGAGAGATGGATCTCCCCTGCAGAAGTTTGGCCCTGGATGAAACCTCCCAGTGGCCTGAGGAGATTGGGAGCTGAGAGGGGGGGTTCTTTCCGTGTAGCCAAGGCCCCGTCCGGTCTGGCCGGGGGAGCTCTGCCTTTTCCCCGCGGCTCCGGAGCAGGGACAGGCCCCGGAGGAGGCGGTGGATCCCCCCGGAGGAGGCGGCGGGTCCCCCCGGGAGGAAGCGGCGGGTCCCCCCGGGAGGAGACGGGTCGGGTCGGGTCGGGGTCCGCGGTGGCGGTGCCGGGTCTGCCCACCAGGTGGCGCCGCGAGTCCGCACCGCGGGGGCGCCGCCAGCCGCGCAGGTCGCTCCGCGCCCGCGGAACCCCCGCGGGGGAGCAACGCGTGTTTGGGAAGGGACACGGGGCTCTGCCTCCCTCCCCGCCCCGGTAAAAGAAAGCCCTCGGTATTTTAACATATGGCGTTGGCAGCAGAATGAATTGATTATCTTTGCGAGTGCCTGGTTAAATCTCCACTGATCTCCTTCTTGCAGGGGATTAAGGAGTGATTTAATGAACTGAATACTATAAATTCATTTTTAGTAATTGTTTTCACCCACTTTGCTCCAAAAGTGGGTGAAAAACTCTGGTTACTGCAGCTCTACTGGCTGTGGAGCAACACCTAGTGACAAACATCAGGTTTCCTTGAGCAGGACACGTCGGAGCATGGTAATGATTATGGAAAATAGGTTTTGAAGCTGGAAGCTTAGAAAAAAGGATTATATTAACGTAGGTCGTTTCCAATCAGCGTTAATTAAATGTTTAATGTAGAAGGCAGTTGATAGAAAACCCTCTGCATTTAGTCTGTATCTTAGAGAGCAAAGACATATCCCTGTAACTGCCCCAGGTGGGTCATCTCCAGTGACAGGGAGGACCAGGAAGGGACCTGTTAGTTCAGCCACAATCACTAACTGCAGCCCAGCCCCTGCCCCTGTTCCACCACAGAGAAGGACAAAGCCAGAGTCCCCACAGGGGACACAAATCTCTGCAGAGAGGTCTTTCCTGAGAGAATAAATCCCCTGAGCCCTTGAAGATTAAATATGACCTGGACGGGCATTACCAAAGAAAGGACATATGTGCAGCAAACTGGCCACCCCGTCCCCAACTTCCCCTTCAGAGCGAAGGACGAGGTGACAGTGCTGTGGTCCCTGCCAACTGGGATGATGTGGTGCTGTGGTCCCTGCCAACTGGGATGATGTGGTTCTGTGGTCCCTGCCAACTGGGATGATGTGGTGCCCCTCCAGGGGCAGTTTGCTGGTGCCAGGGACAGGGACGGAGCCGGCTGTGCCATCCTGCTGCAGGGAAACTGCAGAAAGCTCTGGGGGGAGGAAGAGCAGTTTTGTTAACTGAAGGCAGGATATAAGGCCTTTTTAAGAAGATTGTTTACAGCTTTACAGTGAAAAGTAAACAAGAGGAAAATGAAAATTGGAGAGATAAGTGCAGACAGCTCGGCTTACCGAAGTTATGAACAGTAATTACTGGAATTACTGAGAGTTAAACCCCTGTTCTTTGTGCGCAACCACCACATGCACAAAGGTTGGGCTGATTCCTGCTCCGAGAGATCAGTTGCAAGGATTATGGAGCTGTTCTGTCACAGAAGATGGCAAATGTATAAAACATGAGCACTTGGCACTCGGAGCGTGCAGTGAAGAGAGTCAGAGCTGCGTGTGCACTGCACCTTGGAGAGCACAGCCCACCAGGCTGGAGAAAACGGCGGGGTCCATTACTCTTGTGTTGATGGGTGCGTGGTTATGTGCAACTCTAATTCTCAGTAATGGAAGGTAGTAGGTGCAGAACCCCCGTGAGCCCCAAAGGGAATAGCCCCTCAGCTGTAATGGACAAGCCTCGGACGAAGTAGAAATAAGACAGATTGCACTGATCTCCTGAACAATGCAATTACGGAGAAAGCAAAGCTCCTGTGTGTTGGAGCAGTGGAGTCACACAAAGTCCTCAGAGCATCACAGAAAAAACCCCACCAATAAAACCTCTCAAACAATAAATCACAACCCTGTTGCAAGAGCTGTTTCAAAAGATGAGGAGGGCTACTTGCAGATAAAATACCCCCGTATTTAGAGATTAGGAGTGGAAAGTGTTGCCATGTTGTGAACGGCTCCAGACTTACTTCCTTGTGAGTTAAGGGCTCGCTCTGACGCAGCAGTAGTGACAGTAAGGGGACGATATAAAGGAAAGACCATCTTATGTCTAACACGTTCTTAGCTACTGGTAAAGTAAATAACAAAAATTCAGAGTAAAACCCTGTCTTTGAATTGTCCTCAGCTTTTATTTACATATGATCTATATTCAAATTTTGAGCATAGTCCTGCAGCCTGCATGCTCATTCATGGGAAGCAAAAGTGGACGAGAGCCCTTCTGCACACACCAGTGAGGACAACATGATCTAGCTGTTCCTGAAGTTGCTCTGGTATCATCTGATACCAGAGGGCATACAGCTACGATCTGATCAGCCAGAAATCCTATGCTAAAGGAGCACCAATGTGTTAAGGAGGTGACTGAGGAACACACTGAGAAACCCAAGGTCATAATTTCTCCTACTCCTACTTCTACTACTACATTTGCACTGTGAGAGCATGGACCGTGTAGGGGGGTGTTAGTGGGGCGTGAAGGCAGCCTGTCTCTTGGTGAGTGCACAAGGCTTTACAGGACTCTGCTAACAGGCAGGGACAGTGCTGTGTTCTGAGCCCTTGGTAAACCCCTGCCCATACAGCTCATCACCAATGTAGCCAGCACAAGGTCAGAAAAAGGGGTAGCAAAAGCGGCTGAATTGGGTCTATGCTCTGACTTCCACTGTTGCTACCAGCGGCAGTGAGTTGTGAGTCCACGGTTGCCTACAACAGACAGTCTCTTCAAAAGTTCATCTAAACAAAGCCACCTGTTAAAAACTGACTGTTTGCCAGCCTCATTCACAAATACAAAACATCAAGTGTTACAAAATCCGCGCTCTTGAACGTGATCTTACCCACAGCCAGTTTCGACAGCAGAGTTTGGTGTTTACATGTTTAATTATAGCCGCGAAAACAGTGACTCATGTTCATGCAAGAAATCCTGCAGGTGCCTCCTTCCATAAGCAATGTTCCCATTTCATGCCCGGCTGCTCCGCACTCCGCAGGGCAGCAGAGGGAGATTTGTTGCTAATGCAAATGACTCACTGATGGGAATTCTCCAAACCGCCAGAAAATGTGTATACAATTTCATCCTGATTTTGATTCAGTTACCAATATAAGTGCCTTTCTGTTACATTCTTGAGAGTCAAAAAGACTGTAATACTTCTGCCATAAATTCAGCTTTGAAAGCACACGGGGCAGTTTCATGGGCTGGGGCAGAGCAAGCAGCCACCAGGCCAAGGTCTGATGTCCTGATGTCCTGAGCTGTGCGATCACAGCTCCTGCCGTGGACCCAGCTGCATTTTCTCTTTAACCAGTGCAAATCCAAAGAGCTTCATCTGGGAATTGTGCTGGTTTATGCCCACTCTAGAGCTGGTTGTGTCTGGTAGAAAGCAGCTACTGGCCACTTCTGTTAATCTCTGTTTTCTGTAGAATCTGCACTGACTTCCACTGATGGTGGCCGTGGCCTTTCCTGGACACAGGCAGGGTTGGATTTGCACCGTGGCATCACTCTTTTCAAACAGAAGTAGGCCTTTCTCAAGAGCCAAAGGAAACAGTGGCATTGATTAAAAACTAACCCAACAGAAGTGCAGAGACAATATTCCACGCATTTGCCTGACAAATATTAGAACTACTTTTTTTAGAAATCCCTGTTACCTCTTTTTCTTTCTCATCCACCTTTGCTTCCACTTCTGAAGACTACATCCAAGACGCGTTAGTGGAAGCTGTTCTAATCGTTTTAGCAGTTTCTGGGTCATGAAAAACAAAGCAAAGCTTATTAATGAGAAAAATGAAATGAGATTTCCCTAAGCTGATTGCCGATAAAAAAAAATTTCCACGTTCATTTTTCTGTGTAAAAAAGAAAACATCTGTCACCATTTCAATGTGTCTCAGTGTCCCTGCCTGTGTTTCAACCGAGGCTTGATCAATAAATGCCCATTTTCACACCTTCCTTCCTAATCTTTTTAGTTAAGCTCAGATAGTTACAGATCAAAACAAAGTAAACCCAGTTAGCTGAGATCTTCCTCAGGACTGTGAGACCTGGTGCTGACATTGTTTTGAAATATTAAAGTATATATAACAAATCTGGTTGGGCCATAGCCATGTCCCAGAAGCGCTGGAACAGAGATCGGTACTTTGTGTTTCTAAAAAGATTTCAGAAAACTTTGCCAAGGTTCAGAGGTAGATTGTGCAACCAAGTCCTAACAATGGCACGGATTGTACAATGCAGTCCTCATAAATTAAGCTTCAAATGGCAAGGTTGTTGTTTCTATTTTCTACCAAGATGAAAAATATCCAGCTCTTTCAGAGCAGTATTTAGAGTAGGTAAAGACGAGTGTTGTTAGCTTTCCTGACAACAAGGTACACGAAAGGGGATTTTGTACGTTGGCAGGTACGGCTTTTCAATGAGTCTTTTGTTTCCATTTAACAAAATTGAATAAATGATGACTTTTTAAAAATGAAATAATTATTTTGTTGTTTGAAAGATTGCTTGTGCACAATCTCAAGAACTCTGAGTAATTGTTGTTGTTACCTTGACACAGCCCGCAGAGAGAACTCACAGCTCAGAGGAACCACTACCGGTGTGAGACTGTTTTCAAAGTTCAGAATCAAGAGGAAATTGCCAACCGGTCTCCCAGAGAGAGCCTGAGGACACAGGACAGCCTCAGGTCACAGCCCTCTGCCGCTCTGAGCCCTGGAGCTGAGACTCACCCCAGCTTTGAGCAGGACTTGGGTAAGGTCCCGAAGCGTCAAAGCACGGTGGTTACTCAGGAAAGCTTTAGGTTGAGAGGGAATTTCAAATAGCTGGTTCATGTTCCAGACATCAATGGTGAGCAATGAATATATGAAAAAATGTCCCCTCAACCTTCATGTCCAATTTAATGGATACACCCCACTAAAAAAAGGCAATAGAAACTCTTTGCCTTTTCCATGCAGTGCTGTCTCACAGCTGGGAATTTACCAGAAAGTCACCTCCCAGGTTGCTCCTGGGCCGGGTGACACAGTGACAGCTTCACACAGCCCCCCATGGAACAAACCCCACTCAGACCAGAGCCGTTTTCAGCACCTTGCGGCTTCATCTGAAGGTCTCAAGGAGCTTTGCAATCAATTCTTCATAATTACCACATCAGATAAGTGTGGGATATTACCCTCCTCGAACAGCAAGAGACATCAGGGCACGGAACATTTAGAGGGGTTAACAAAGGATGTGGCTGGATGGAGAGATGTGCTGGAGGATCCCGTGGGGCTGGGCGAGGGTGGGGTGCAGGGCATCACCACTTCTGCTCAGAACAAATGTTTGCATAGAAACAAGGGAAAGTTTGTGGCCGAAAGGGTTAAAAGGCAAACAGTAGCATGCAGGGCTCTGTCTGAAGAGACCTCTGCTTGCTTCCTCCAAACAGTAGCAGATGGTGCATTGTTTTAAGGGCTTTTCCGAGACAAAAGAACAAGATCAGATAACCTTTCCTCAAAGAGGGTACTTACAAAAAGCCTTTGCTCTTATTAAGGATTCTTCATTGTTTTCCCCGCAAAATTTTATACGTAATATTGGATTTTGAGGTGGTGGAGAAGCCAACATTGTTTACTGTGCTTCTCCCCATCCCCCAGAGACTAGGAGGGCATCTTACATGATTAGACAGTAAGTCTGTTGTCTGAAATGTTTACCATAAGCGAAAGACATCGTATTTATTTAATATTAATAACTAGGGGCCCAAATTCTGGAAGCTAACTGGCAAAAAGACCTTGCCATCCACTATTCACCACACAAACAATAGGAACTGCTGCCTGGTGTCTATGCCAGGAGAAACCTTTACCTTCTCCGACAGCACCAGGAGCTCAAGCACCAGGTTTGACTGTAAACCCACGGTTCTGCTACGGGCCATGTTGCTGCAGATGAGGCCCAGAACTGTCACTCTGGAGACAATGTGGTTTTGAAATATGGGTCACAAGTGGATCCCTTCCCCACTCTTATCAGGAAAAGGGCATTCAGACCCAAGGCTGCATTGTCTGCGAAGACGCATTACACCAGCACTTGATTCTGGTCTCTTTCACAGAACACAGAAGTCACCGTGCACATGCAGCATAATGATGGGTAATTATACAACTGCTGCAAAATATATTTACCTTTAAAATGTACATGCATCACCCAAATGCTAAATGCTATGCCAAGGACATGAAAAAATTTCTGTAGTAAACATTTGTAAAATATAATAAAACACAGTATAAAAAGCAGATATTCACAAAATATTTGGAACAACTGCCTGGAGTAAAACAGTGAACCTGTCACAAACTGTTGGATTTTCTTTTTAAACACAGCCAGTATAAAATCCAGAGTTACAAATGCTATAAGCACATGCTGTAATGAACAGAAATTGTCTCCACAGGGATCCCTGGGAAGTACTTCACATAGCTCTTATATGGATCTCTAATCAGGTTAGGCACAAAACTTGGTATAACCAAGTGAGCTGAGGACATTCTGCTTCTCTCAGAGACACCACTACATAAAATCTTTCCATTCCTGCCTGACCATCAGGTCTTCTCCACAGGGAGCTGTACTTTCCTTGACACTGCAGCACACCCTCTGAATACAGCTCACAGTACCCAAGTTTCTGTATCATTATTAAATAAGGAAATATTTTGCCTTTGCATCTTCCTACAGCCTTGTGATTGGACTATGAGCCAGATTGGACTAAATGAGCCAGAAAGCTCTTGTTTCCTTTTTTTTTTTTTGAATTTGAGAGATAACAAGATTAAAGATGAAATTAATCGTTAAAGAAGTATTTTCTAAATGTTGAAGCTTAACCATAGCTACTGGTTTAAAGTAATTGGCATTTAGAAAGCAAATGGAATGCTCTCCGTTATTCTTAAAAAGCAGAATTATGACTTGGATCACAAAGAAAAGCTATTCATGTGTAACATCTTTCCCCTTCACTGCTGATGGAGATATTTTCTCGGATCACAAGAGGGAGCTGTTTTCTCGCTTGTGGCAGAGCAAGAAATGCTTAAATCAGTGGAATCAGCAAAGCAGTGTAACAGCATGTTTTCAGCTAATTGCCCTCTGATTGATAGTTTCGAGATAAGACAGCTCTTCCTGTTTTGCTTCAAAATCCTACACTGTCTTTTGTATTTCACGAAGCTTCTGCCTAGTGCAGCTTCAGTGAGCTCCATCCTCAGCCTTCAAACATCTCTGAAGTAGCCTGCAATGACAGCAGCATTGAAGCATAGTTGTGGAGTCCCCTTCCTTGGAGATTTTCAAGACCCGCCTGGATGCTCCTGAGTAACATGCTCTGACAAGCTCTAGGCAATCCTGCTTCAGCAGGGGAGTTGGACTAGATGATCTCTATGGTCCCTTCCAACTCTAAAATTCAGTGAAATTCAGTGAAATAGTGTGCCTCTTGACTCTGTGACAGCCAACACAAGAATCACTCTTGCTTCTTTTGATACCAGCTTTCTCCCTCTGAACTAGTTTCTCTCCATACCCACAGAGACTTTATTTACACTGCTCATTGGCTGGCTGATAAATCCTCTCAAAGCCTGTATGTGCACAAGAAGTCAGGATTTAATCCTCCTCTGTGCTACTGCTGCATAGGGTGCTATTATTTGTTAAATACCACTGCAGAGCATGTGGACACATTTGCATTTCTTGCTCTGTGGAGTCCAGTGTTGCTTTGGTCTTTGGTATCCATACTGCAGGTGTAGTGGGTTGAGGGAATTGAGTATAATTGCTGAGCAGTAGAAGGAACATTTCATGGAAAGTCAGGGTTCTGGTTAGGTCCAGATTCAGGCCCAGCTCTCTCTTGTTAGCCTGTGGCAAGAGCTGCTCTGTATGTGACACACCGCACGTGGAAGGGTCAGCAGCAGGGTGAGGTATTGCCATGTGCTGCAACATCTGGCTGGAAGCTGAACTCTGGCCAACCCTCCACGCTAGAGGATTTAGATATAAACACAAAATATGTGGAGGACAGGAGCAGCACAGGCCACATTAATCCCCTTGTCTAGCAAGCAGCTACTCTTCAGTGATAAGTGGGATGCCAGACGTATTTATAGAGGAGAGAACAAACTGATTCAGCAGGCGTGGAAATACAGATTCTCCAAGATACTCAAGAATGCAGATGAGCCCATGGATTTTCCTGCATAAACAAGTGTAGCCTTCAAGTTTAGATTCTCTTGCTTAGGGATTGTTCTTGGCTTCCAGGTCTTGCTGGAGAAGGGCTAACCAGCCATCCTGTTTGCCTGTGCTGAATATTTCAGTTGTCATCAGGAGTCAGCAAACCTCTTTTCTGCATCTCCATTTACCTGTCATCACCACAGCTCAGTTCTTCCATGCTAACAAAGTTCTGAAATGCCCGAGTGGCATTTCACCTGTCCCTTCCCTTACCTGAAAAGCATCCTAAAATAATAAAGCAATTGAGCCAGCACAGTGATTTTGGAGAGGGGAAGGATTACTCTGACCTGGGTATCAAATGGGTCAATTCCTTCTGGATCTGTTGCTCCATTCCACAGCAGGCTTTCAGGACTCTTTACACCCTATCTTCATACACCTCCCGGCAATAATGTAGCCAAAGTTGTGCTTACATCTAAAGTTGCAAGTACATATTTTTGTAATAACTGGTTTGGACTGATTGCTGACATGGGCAGAAAGAGAAAAAGCTGTCCTTGAGTAAAGCAGCAGTAAGTGCTTCTGCCTAGCTTCAAGTGATTAGAAAAATGAGACTTTTAGCCCGGCTTTTTTAATTATATGTCACAGAGATTCTACGGGGCTTTACTCAGATTCTGCAAGTGCAGCGGAAAGTGATTTAATAAATAGCATTTTTTTAAAAAGACTGAGTGTATGTGCATTGAAGCTATCTGGGTATGCAGCAAAATGCCATTTATCATAAAATAAGAGGACATGAAATTTAGCCAGATGGTATTTTCTTTAAGGCAGAATGTTGCAACACAAGAAATTCATCTGGAAATAGCCACAAATAGGAAAATTATTTTCAAAAGGAGTGAAATCAGAACAAAATTTTTTGTTCACTTTGAGATCAGCACCACTGGTCAAGCTTTGAGCAGAACAACAATAACATTTTTCAGTTTGAGGCACAAAGTTAAAATAATTCCCAGTTTTAAACTATATCCTAATAGATCCCCATGCTTCAGAATAGCCCAGATAGTAGTATTAAAAGCTACTCAGACAATTTAGCATCAATAAATTTAGGTATTTTTTTTTTATAAAATGACCTTACCTGCTGGTACTGAAGGAGGCATCCTCATCTAGTTTTTTTGAAGTGCTAAGAACTCACTGAAGAACTATTCACTTGTCTTTTCTCTATTGCATTGTTTAAAACCAGTAATAAAACTTTCTTGTAGAAACAACAGTTCTTTTTCCACAGGATTTTCCTAAATATATTATTTAACAAAATCATCACTGGTAACTATAAGCATTAGAGAGTCTGAATCAGTCCTCAAAATTACTAAGATTGGGGTAAAACTAAAAATCTTTTTAAAAGGATTAACTCTTTTTTGGGCATGTAATTTCTAGGTAACTCAGTATGATTTTGCCTTTTCAAACAACCCTCCAGAACCAGGAGATTTGCATTACTGAAATAAAAGATAAGATTTTCATTCAGTCTTTTGATTCTGAAAAGGAGAGGGTTAAGAAAAGCCTTCTGTAGTAACACTGTAAGAGGTAAGTGAAATTTGCAACCAAGCTGTTCATAAAAACACAGCAGCATTCTAATAGAAAATCTGCATCGGGCTTGAAACATTGACATTTTATTTTGCTCACCACGCAAACACAAAGAGCACCTGGCATGCCAAGAAGCCCACATCCCTGTTCCTTCCACGTTAAAGATTCTTCAGTATTTAAAGCGAAAATGAACCTTGCATGTTGTGGGCTTATCCTGAGGCACGGGGTAATTTGGATTCAGACAATCTGGGTAGGGATACAGATTTTATCTCAAGTTTCCAAGTCAAACCTATTTCTATTTATGACCCACACTTCAATTCATTTATGACTCTGGTTGCTGTGACAGTGGCACAGCACAGAGTAAACACGCAACCTGTTTGCATAAGCTTAACAATTCATCTGAGGAGCTCAAAGCAGCCAAGAACATATCACTGGTAAACATTACATCACCTGTACTGTAAAAGACAGACAGGAGAGTTACAATAAGGAAGTAGCAGTGAAATGGGTACACCTGGAACAAGAATTGTTTCCCTACTTAAAAGTGAAAGCTTTTTTTCATGGGCTTGTCTCCCCCCGTGGCAAAAGAGAAATCGAGCCTGCACCCCCATACAAGGAGAAGCTGAGATGGAGGGGGCACAGGTGATGCTGCTGGAGGTCCCAGAGAACTGACCAGGTGGGGAAGCTTTTCTTCTTCTGTAACTATGGGTCTGATCCTGTTGGTTCAGTGAAGGAGCAGCAGGGACAAGACTGGCCATAACCCAGGCTCCGGACTTCAGGCTTGGAATGGGAATTGCTCCCCAGTCCTTCTCCTTCCTGACATAAGTCCTCTTCAGTCCTACCTCTTCCCCAGTACACGCATGACTTCATGCTAACAGACTGATTGACAAGGTGTTGGTAGTGACATTTTCCTTCCTCAGATACGGTAGAATAAGTAAATGTATGCAGAGAAGCTATTTCAGGAATAAAGGCAGATGTCAGATTTGGGAGGCTTCCGAAAATAGGCCCAGGGAGGATTCAAAAGGAAGATGCAGTTAGGAACAACATACACACCCCCCCCTTTCCCTTTCGGTGACCCCCTATTTAAATCTTTGTATTAGGACTCAGGCATGTTTTGAGAGGTACAGCCAGACCTGAAATGCAGCAGAGCTGAGCAGCAGATGCCCTGGTACCACACTGAAAACGTTATGATGCTGTTAGATTATTTACAAGGTGTACTGACCTCAGCAGTGACCCAGCCAACCAGCCCTGGTGGCAAAACACTTTGCAAACGCTTAAATCCCTATGGACTTCGACAGTATAGAAACACATTTCCAGGACAGCCTCTGGAGGAAGTCTGCTTCCACTGCCTTTCTCTGGTAGACTCTGATACTTTCTTCAGCTGGCACCTATTAAATGGAGCACAGGTTTTAAATTTTTCTTTGATTAACAAATGGTGACTGTTACCATCTATTTCCTAAGCTTCTTCAGGTGAGGGAGACCCCAGCTGCACAGAACTGGAAGAGAAACACAGGAGCCATCTGGACAATTTGAGGCAAACCTCCCTGCTACTGACTCACAAACTGAAGGTAAGTTATGAAGCAAATTATGAAACAAGCAAAAAGCAATTCCAGTTCTGCTATCCCAGGAAAAAAAAAGGTGCTAGCTATTCTGGAAGCAAGTGTGTTTAGGCTGTAATCAGTTGGCATCAGCTGACTCTGCAGCAGGTTTATAAACCCCATGTAGGTGTAAAGGAGAGGTGCCAGACTTAATTTGCTATTTGGCAGGCAAGAATGCATCCCTGTGCTGCAGCCAAAGAAAGTGTTTATAGTGCCTTCTGACTCTTCTGCCTCTGCAAGATGCAACAGGAGTTGGCTGTTACCTGTGCTGTGTTCTGTTGCAGTTTGCTGCCCTTTGCCCCCAGCTCTGAGCAATCAGGTGACTTGGTTAAAAATCTCATTTATGGCATGTTGTTTCCTAACACAGGTCCATCAGCTCCAGCAGAAGCAGCAGCTTACGGTGCTGAGGGAGAAAGCAAAACTAGAAGTTCAAGAAAGCCAGAGGTTTTTGAGTGACCTGCTTCAGCACAATCCAGAGGTAAGTTACTGTTTCAGATCCTGTGCTACTGCTTCTGGGTTCGGCAGAATGTTCCTCCAATCTCCACTGGTTGTTTCTTTTTTTCTCACTTAGAGTCCCTTAATCAAAAGAGGTTTTTTTAACTGATAAAAATTGTAGATCCAGGTAACTTTTTGGAAGTGCCCATGGCTCTCGGGTAATGGAATCCCTCAGGCAGTCATTTGGACTGTTGACCTGAAATCACCTAGGTATTGAAGCTTTTGGTGTCGATGGCTGGCTTCCCTGTAAAATCAAGAGAAGGGTTTTTAAGTCCTCAAGAGATAATTACTGTGATACTTGCTCAGGCGTTAGAGTCTAGTGAGATGCTGATCTTAACCAAAAAGTATCCTTCCAAAGATAAAAAGTTAGCATGCTGTTTATTTGCAGCCTCAGATTCTGAAGTCAGGTAGGAACTGATGGACTTCAGTGTCTATTTGTTAGAATAATTTAGCCCCACATGTATAAACACAGGCTCAGACTTCATGTGTCATTCCAAGCTCTCATTATGTTGTTGGGAGTAATTGCTTTTGAGGATACTTTAGCTCAATTAATGTGTCTCAATATGTTTGAACAGCTCAGACAGAAGTGATCTCTGTATGTTTCTTTTTTTAAAGCCTTTAGGAGGAACACAACACCCTACCTCCCATGAAAGCAGCTCTAAATACACAACAGTTTGTGGGTTGTTATGCTACCTTACATCCATATGCCCACAGTTATTTCACTGTGAGTAGTATCCAGCTCATCAATTAATCCAACTCTTTGGGAGTTATTGGCATATGAAAAGCATTATCTACAAGGAAGATGTTTTCCAAGAGAATGAGGGAAGAAGGCTTAAAAGTTCTGCCTTTTGAATAGATCATTCAGGTCTACAGACAATTTCTGTGTTTGCAGGAGTGCAGTAGCTCCAAAGGCTGTTATTTTTCCGTGCCAAGGTTGGACCACGTAGAGCAAATGTGGAGAGGATCCCAATCAGAAGGTGACGGTGCAGCTGCCAGGTATGGAAGGCAGTATACAATGAGGCACCCCTGTGGTTTGACTATATAAATGACTTGGGGCTCTAGAGTATTTGCACTGTACATGTTTTCTAAGAGGGATGTTCATTTCAGGTCGTTTAAGAAGAGTTAACATGGCTGCCATGATATCTTTAAGACTATTTAATTTTACTCATTCAAATCTCTGCTGTGAAGCATCCACCTTTGCAATACAGTCTTTCTACTCTGATTTATGCTAAAACCATAGCATAAACACCTCTGGATGTTGTGGGTGATCCTGCCTTTTTTTTTTTTTTTTTTATAAGTGTAAATATATTTTCTCCAAACTTTACTTTTTTTCCTAACACTTTGCCGGCTGCAACTCACCGCACTCTATAGTAGGATTTGGGGATGGGCTCTTTTAGCAAATCTGTTCAAACAAAGACCATACTTTCAGTTTTACCATAGTAGGTCTGATAAGTACAAAAAATGGCTCTAGAGTATTTGCACTGTACATGTTTTCTAAGAGGGATGTTCATTTCAGGTCGTTTAAGAAGAGTTAACATGGCTGCCATGATATCTTTAAGACTATTTAATTTTACTCATTCAAATCTCTGCTGTGAAGCATCCACCTTTGCAATACAGTCTTTCTACTCTGATTTATGCTAAAACCATAGCATAAACACCTCTGGATGGTTTTGGGGGTTCCTCCTTTTTTTTTTTTTTTTTTTAAGATGGTAGAAGCCCCTTTGAAACTTGTGGGGGAAACATAAATTTTCCTCATTTTGCTTTACCACCATACACCTTGGTATGAACGGGAATATTGTATGTGCACATTTTTATGGTCTTTTAAAGAGGCATAGATTAGACTTGAGAATTGCTTCTAGACTGTTATGGATACAATTACCAGGAAGGCACATTTGAACAGGTAAAATTTCCAATATTGCATAAAAGTGAGGGCCAGGCTGGTCTGAAAAAGACTCAGCCTCCGCAGAGGACTTTGCTATGAAAGCTAGGAATTGAAATAGTATCTCTGGACTGCAATAAGAACATATTTCCTTTCTTTCTTACCATCAGTAATCAAGAAACACGTTCACTGAAACAATCTGCACTGAAGACAGAAAGAGATTACAGTCCAGTGGATCTCAAAACAGTGGGAGAAAGAAAACCCCTGGGAGGAAGGGGTTCGTATTGCTCAGGGCTTCGAGAAGGTGAGCACTAAGTTAAAGAATTTGGTAGTATTGGGAAAACACCTCTAATTTCTAGGACAGTGTGAGAAATGGCACAGCATCCAGGGGCTGGAACACGCAATCACAAATTTCACTAATTTTCTAACAGATTTTGAAAATGTTGACCTAAATGCTTATATTCATTATGCATATTTAAACCATAGCAATCTCCCTTTGTACTCCTGACCCTCTTACAGACAATAATCTTGGGAGTTGAGAGTTTTTTACCCTATTTATAGGCTTTTTTTTTTTCTTTTTGCCCTTTTACCATGATCTCACTTAAAACTGAGGATAATGTTCATAACTTGCTCCTGTAAGTGGATAGCTGTGGGGGTGATTCTCCTCAGGCTCCTGCTGAGGGCTGGGCTGCTAAGCCTTTGGAAAGGCACCTGAATTCAAGAACGGACACTAACTCATCTACTACGGCAACCATTTTGGGGAGGTCTTTTTCCCCTTCTATTACAGAGAAATATTTTACTTACAGTGACTTAAAATCTTCTCCTTAGGATCCCTGCAGGCAGAGCATGGGAAGCCAGTGCATGACCATGAAACGTTGAATCTGCTGTCACCTCCAGTGAATCTGCCCCACGGGGAAACTTGTGCAGGGGACAGCTCTGGAGACAGCAGTGAACAGACCAGCTCCAACAGCCAGGTAGCATCAGTTCTTCTACCAGTGTGGGGGGTTTTTTTGGGGTGTGGTTGTTGGTTTGGTTTTCTTTGGTTTTTAGTCCTGATGTTGAACTCATCACCCACACAACACTTTGATAAACATGATGCTCTGCTCTGTCCCCAGTGGAGTGAAGTTGGCCAGCACTATGGAGGCTCCAGCACCTTCTGCTGCTTCAGCTTGGCCATGGTGGAGCAGTGTCTGAGGGGAGAAGAGCTGCGAGCTCGACACCAGGCTGCCCTCCTCAAGCTCCGCAAAAAAGCTCTCCAGGAGAAAGCCAGGGCCGAGCTGGCCTGGCTGGACCACCAGAAACGGTGAGGGGGACATGTTGTGGGCAGGACACCACAAGCCTGCTCTGACTGGGACAGGTCCTTCAGCAGGAGGTGGAGGTGCAGCTGCCTGCTCAAAGGAAGAAAACCTGTCCCTTCTCAGGAGAAGCAAATATAAAATCCTTCTCTTTACAGAGTAAGCAGAAGGAGAGGAATCTGCCCAGTTCTATTTTCCCCAGAGCATGGTCAAGCTCCCTAGTGCAGCCTCCTTCAGGTGTGGTGCGAGCCCCTCCTCAGTGCTGACTGGGCTGAGGTGCTGTTGAGGACAGAGTGAGCCCCCAGTGCAAGGTGTCCCTCGGTGCTGACTGGCCTGGGGCACCATGAGGTTCAGTTTGAGCCCCCCCAGTGCATGGCGTCCCTCACCAGCTGGTGCTGTGTACTGAGTGCTCAGGAAAGTCCATCTGCCTCAGTAGAGGTCCAGGCGAGATGCCCCCAGGGTACTGAGATGTCCTCCAAGTCTAGCAGAACTTTCTGCAGAGCCTTCCATAGCTACTGCTGCCTCTACAGCTTCTGTTTCCTAAAGAGCATTAAATTCACAGCATTTAATTATCTGATTGCGATCCCCATCCTTCTCTGGTCTCCAGCTGTCTGGAAAACCTGCAAGATGGTGAAGGAGCCTCTGCCATGGCTGCAAAGCAGTGCCAGATCCTAACGGAGCTGAAACAGGAGCAGGTAATTCTGCAGCAAGAGGAACTGGATTTCATCTTACAAACACTGGGAGGATGCAACGTTGGGAGGCAGCTGGAGCAAGTCATGTTTTGTTTTTTAAAAAAGTCACTGATGTCATTTCACATGCATTCTTCTGTTTTGCTTCCTACATTCAGTGGGGTGGGGTTTGTGCCAAAGCCTGCAAATGTAAGAGAAAAGAAAACATCTTTGTTCTTTTTTTTTTTTTATGCTGCTGCACTGTTACTGTGGAGCTTTCTATTTCTGTCATAATAAGCAGGTCATATAATGTAGGTTTCCAATGATTTATGCAGATTTATCCTTCTGATGTTGAAATATGTTAAGTTAATCTGACAGCTAATTTTATAGCCTCAGTTCCCCTACTACTGAGAGGAATGCTGGGCTCATAATTACACTTGGTAATCAGAAAATTTCTATCCTACTCCTTATGTAGTACAAGCCTCTCTGTTACTTCAAGGAATTGCGGTGCAAACCACAAGCATCCTGTAGTTTTGAATGACCTGAAGGTAATTTATTTCCAAAGGTCTCAGCTCTCAGAGACACCCCATCAGGCAGTGAAATATCCCCCTTACTTGTCATTAGTTCTCACAGGTAACCCCCAGTCAGTGTCAGTGAAAAATAAAACTGCAAAAAGTTTGACAAAAACTCAACAAAACATGCATATTGAATTTTAAGGATGTTTTTGGAGTAGTATTGCTGTATGTTAAGAAAGACTACACACAATTTTAAGTAGGTCTCTTTTCTGTTACCCTAACACTTTTATTCTCCTATCTTTTTCTGCTTTGCATAGGCAGAAATCCAGCACCTGCAAAACATCTACAGGGCAGCCCATCAAGAAAGAAAGCTTTTGTTAAAGCAGCAAAGAGAAATCTTAATGATGCGTCATTCAACAGCACAACTCCAGGAAAAGCTGCATAATTTGGCTGGGAAGCCAGAGGTTATTAAATCAGAGTCACTGGATGTCTCGGTGGGTTTTTTGAGTCAATAATAACTAAAGGCAGAGCTGGTGCTACAGCTAAGGAACCCAGGTGAAACCTATGTATTATCATTTCTTTCTAGCTTACAAGGAGCCCAGCAACTGAAGAAGGAATAAAGCTGAAGACAGTGAGACTTATTTCTAGCCCGAAGCTGAACTCCTCAGCAGAGCCTACAGCCCACCCAGAGAGGCCTGATCTGTCAGGAAATAGAGAGAGTGGTGTCCAGCTAAGGAATAAACAAAGCAAGAAATATGAGGGGTAAGTAAAATCCTTTTCACAGTAACAGCTGAAGAACCAGTCCAGTGGAGAAGATGGAAGCAGTTATGTCCTAGGTAATTGTGTGAGCTTTAAATGCTCCCAAAAGGGAGTTTTAGAACAATAAATTTCGACAACCTCTGTATTCAAGCAGTTGATGCATCAAGATCACTGCTTATCACTCTGACTGGTATTGCCTTGCTGTTTATTTGTGTGTCCTCCATATATCCAACCAACCATCTCATGTCCAAAACAGTCAGTTCCTCAAGGCAGGGACCAGCTTTTAACTACAAACTCAAAACACTTTGGAACTATCTATTAATTAAACTTCAAAATACCCATACAGAATGAGTGGAAATGTATTGATTTAATTGGTGAAATTCCCTCCTTTGTCCTCCTCTGGCTCTAATCCTATGTATCACTTAACCCCTCCGAGCAGGTTTGTGTTTCACTTAGCATTTAACCGCAGCAGGCGTTTGTACTACATGGGGCTTAATTTTATGCTTAAATGGAAGCCTAGAGGTGTGATGTAAAATGCCCACAGCCAGAAGTAATTCAGGAGCTCAGTCAGACTGTTCTGAGAGAGCACTGGCCTCCAGTTCCCCAGGAGCTCTATCCCCAGCAGCCCCATTTGATTCCAGCTGAGCAGCGCAGATGAGGACCCAGCAGTATCCACACTGCTCAGAACAGCAGCCTTCCAAAGCAAGCTCACATGAATAAATATCTAGTTTGCTTCAGGGGAAAAAAAAAAGCTCAACCAATTGCATTTAAAGACAAATATGTATCTATATGAATTAAAAACACCCTTTCATTCAGTCTTACCCAGACCTTTAGCAGACTGGCGAGTCAGATTTGTGCATTTACTTAAGTTCCCACAGGGAAAGGCTTTCAAATAAATCCTTGCATGGACCTGATCTATAATTCATGGTGTTATTGATTACAAGTCACAGAAATCTTTAAAAGGCTTCTTGGCTGGGCTTTCACTTCTTATTACTGACAAGCCTGCTCATAGGAGAACAGTGAATATTAACGTCAGTCTAGAGCAGACAGGGCCTGGTGGAACTGGTGATGCCCCCGTCCCTGGCTGCTGCCCCATGGTGTGTGGGGCTTTCCCCTGCAGGAGTGCAGGCTGGTAATTAACACTTTCTATCCACCAGTGCAGGTATGTTCCTATTTTATACTGATCTGGAAGATAGTTAATAAGCAGGGCTGTAAGGAAGGGGTGAGAAATACTTTTAAACATGAAAGCAAACTGAAATAACGAATAAATTACCAATGTGCAGGGAAAAAAAAGCTGCTGGCTTGTGATTTTGTTAATGGATGTTAAATAATAGAAACCAGGAATACAGAAACATCTAATTATTATAAATAGAAAAGCTTTTAGCTAAGAATTGGGACTGTATCTTCTGAATTGGGACACTTATTTTGAAATCTATAGCATTAGCAGTGTTGAATACTCTATAGGCCTACTTTTTTCGTGTTAAAAAAATTGAATACAGATTTAGCTTCTAGACACTGTCATATTGATAGTTTTAATTCATTTGAGAATAAGTTTAACTTCTTAGACTGTTAATGGAGTAAAAAAAATAACCCACAAACCCAATAAAACCAAACCAAAAACTCCACACACAGATCACTGTTTACTTAACTCTGTATTCTATAACTCATATCACTAATGGAAAAGTCTGAGTATGAATTGTTTCCTCATGCTTTTGCAGTAAGGAGACTGTTTAGAAAGTTCAAAGTCACTATCACAATCGGTATTTGATGTCCCAAATGTCCATGAAGTTGTGATTCTATGTTTAAAGTGGAAAATTCAAAGAGATCTGTTGGAATCTGATAAAGTATCATTGACTGGAAATGGGGGAGGCAGACAGGTTCAGATTCTGACCCTAGTTTTGCCTTTTCAGTGCTGATGATTTCTTCAGTCTCCTATTCTTGTCTGTGATTTTTACAAACCTGATTTTTATAAAATACAGTATCAAGTGAGGAGGAGGGGAATAGGGAAATAAATACACTATTTGCAGTGCTTCTGGCTTTACTGATTTGCTGGCTTATAAACATATGTGCACGTGAGCACTCTACAGGTACTATCAAGCACCACCAGAAGCATTTAATTCATACCTTTATTGACTTCATATAGATTTGCAACGATTAACTTGGGAACACAAAACCAACTCCCAGTCACTAATTCCTTGTCTAACTGTTTACAGCTTTTCTACTGAGGAGAGAACGCTGGTACAATACCAGAAACGGGCAGAGGAGTCCCCAGGTTTGGAGCGGTCCCTTGATGTGCAAGGTCCTGATGCATCTGAAACCGAAGCCGGGGAAGTCTGTGGTGCTACCAGCCAAACCACAGGCTTGGTCTTTATGATTAAAGATTGCATAAACGCAGGTACCTAATAAAAATTTCTGTAGCAAACCATGTTTGTGACCGCTTTGTCAAACTGAATGGCTTAGGACAAAAATAGAATTCTCTGCTGCTCTTTGAAGCAGCTCAAATGATCTTTTAAAGGAAGAGGACTGTCAAGCTAACTAGGCCATGAGGGAGAACTTGTGATGTTGATCTATTCCTCAGTTACCTCCAGCATGAGTTTTGGTACCAGGATCTGTTCAAGATTAGCAAGAAGAAGGCGTAACAAGGGTGTAAGATGTTTTGTTGAGGTGGCAGCTATGGATGGATGAGGAAAGAGAAAGAGTGTAGAAATTTCTGGAAGTGGGCTTTAGAGTTGCTACCATGTAGCTGGATATGTAAGGTGATGATTGGATAAACAAGGTCATTGGTCCTTTTGGCTTCTTTTGGTGTGACGAGGAATGTGTAGGGTAAAATTAAGTTACTCAAACCATAAATATTTTTAAGCCTTTTTGATTGAGCTAAAAAAAAAAAAGCTATAGCTAAGTTATTCATGAGGAAAAAAACGCAGTATTGGAAACATTGTAACTTAATGTTGTACCTTTCAGAGCTTAATGCTCAGGATCATGTTTTATTACCTCTGGAACATGCAAATTCAGCTAGAATGGATGAGCCTATATCCACGCCCATTACAAGCCAAGGCAGAAGGCACGTATTTCTGGTAAGGATCACCTCTAGAATTCTGTTTCTGCCTACAGGTTATATTTGCCTTAAGATAGGACCAGCACAAGGCTCATTTGGCAGCTATGAACATCAAGTACAAATTGGTCTTGTGTGTTGATTATGTGCACTTCAGCTAAAGACTAAATTTTAACATGGGCTGGTTTCCTGCCCCTTCTGGTTTCTCTATGTTGTTAACTGGTGATAACGTTTCTAAGCCAAGTCCTGTGGGTAAGTGCTGTGCTGCTCCAGGAGAAACTAAACTTGTCCCTGGAGCAGTAAAATGTTATTTGCCCACAGCAGCTGCAGAGACTGGTCCCTTTCCTACTTCCTACATCAGTGACACAGCCCCAGTGTGGGTATTTATATGCCCAGGAGTCAATATGCACTTATAAATCTTAATGTGAACATGTACATTTAATCTCTGATCTTAAAACTATTTTTGTGCCAGTCCTTTTCTCTTAAGATGTTAACTCTTTCTCTTAAATATTTACATTCTAGGAACCTATGCTGAAGGAAAAGGCATTTATTTCAAACCCAAAGACAGATCCTAAAGACAATGGAGATATTAATCCATGCGCCAGCAAGTTCACAGTGAAAGGCTTGGGGATGCTTTCTACTTGGTGTAACTTATGCCTGGTTCAGGCAGAAAATACTCTTCAAGGAACTGGTAAATCATATTTAATGTTATTATGTCCAATCTGTTTCAACCACTTCAATCAAACTTTAATCCAGACAGAAAGAGAGACAATATTCTCATTTATTACCTAAGTGTCTTGCTCACTATGCCCAAAATATAAATCACTGCTAGGCAAGATGGGGGAGATCTCTCAAAGGTTTATTATGAGATATGATTATACTGCTTCCTCAGAACAAAATCATAACTTATTCTGCTTGTGTCATTAACAATTTACTCTCTTTTGAGGCATTTTTAAAATAATTTAAGGGTGTTCTTTTTAAAAGGACATAGATCAGTTGAAGATAGACTTAGACAGGACATGCTGGAGTTATTTTTGTTTCCAGGTTTTATCCTCAGTTCATATTTCTTGCTCTCAGTAGGACGTATGAAAAATAAAACTGGCTGTTTATATATGAGCCAGTTATATCATTTATATCGTTCTGGGGATGCATAATCTCTGTATTATAAATATTTACATATTGTGGCAATATTTCATATTTGCATTATTGTTCTAATGAACTATCTTTCTGCGTTTACCCCTACATACCATAGGGAGGCTATAGATTTGTGTAATTAAGACAAGAGTAACAGTGGTCCTCAGGATAGAAGTTTGGCACAGACTGCATCTTAACTAGATTCTCAAGCCTAGCTTTCAGCACGTGGAGATCAAATTGTCTGAAATAAATCCTGTCCCTCAGGCAAAGAGTGTTTTTTCCAGGGACTTCAATGGGCCACAATTTCACCATTAGTGTTTGGACTTTATTTTTTATATTTGGCAAGGTGTCTTGTGCTGTCTCATAACCTAGAGTGTCAGTTCCTAGGCACTGCCATAAACTCCACTAGCAAGCCTTAAATTCCTGTAGTCATGGCTGCTTTGTGAGACTGAGATAAAGAACCACCCTGTATTTGCCATCTGTGTATTCCAGGTGATGCTACATCATCCTTAAAACACCAAGAGAAAGAATCTTTGAGAGTGGAGAAAGCATACAAGGAGCAGAGAAGTCATGAAATGCTGAGAGAAGAGCAGGACGTCTGCAGTCCATTTCAGGCATGTGGCAAGCTTATAATTTATCTTAACTGTGTTTTTTACTTAAGTGAAATTTCAACAGAAGAAATCAGTGCTATTGGCTGTCATGGAGATATTGTGCTTGGAACTCAGCTTGCAGGCAGAGAAGCTGAAGTTGTGTTGAGGTTTTGTTGTACTTTGTTAAAATATTGCCCTTAAGTCTGGGTAAGTCCATCAGCAATTCACTGTTTTCTTTAGGTTTCTTCTATATTCAGTGATTTCTGATCACACTCTCTGCAGGATGAAAAAAGGAAGAAAGACCTTTTTTCGGATGATGAAGATGAGAAAATAAGATCAGCAGTGACTTCAGATGAAGCTACATTAGTGAAAACAGAGTTAAGAAAAGAAAGCTCATCAGAAGAACACAGGTACTATGTCTGTCAAGGCCAGGACCTTCGGTCCTACTTTCTGATTCTCTCATTGATGTGTCAAACCTTGTTTTGTTTCTTTGATCCACATGATCATAGAAAGAGCAGGGAGACCTGAATGACCTTAGCCTGGTATTGTTTGTGTTGTATAAAAAAAAAACAAAACCCAAAACCAAACCAAACAAAAAAAAACAAACACAAAAAAACCCCAAACAAAACCACCACCAAAACAAACCCAACCAACAAAACAAAGACCAAAAAAGCCCTCCAACAACCCAAGTCCCAACAGAACAGAAAAACCTCGTTCTTTTTTTATAAAGGGTTTGATGTGATATTAGTCACATTCATCAAACATTGTCTGCCAAGTTTTCTTAGGCAATGTAATTCTTTGGAGTTAGTTGAAGGAGTGTTGATATCAGTTTCGGGGGTAAAAGTTGTCTTCAGGTGGCTTTGGGCTAGACAGAAAGCATCTGAAGTGGCAGTTAAAACAAGGCATATCATTTTGCATTGCGCTGCCTGTGGGCAGCAAATAGACCCCATGAAATTCAATGGTCTACTCAACTTTCTTGAATGACATGTACTATACACCTCATAATTCCGATTTAATCCAATTATGTTGTATTTGCAGGGTTAGCACAGACTCTGAGAGAAAATCAGAAATCAAACATGTAGATGAAAAAGAACCTTCTGAAATCCCTTTGTCAGAAGGTAAGAAATATCTTTTCCATGAGGCTTTCCATGGTTATTTAACATACAGCCTGAGCGTTAGCTCTTCCTGGGGTTAGTTCCTGGAGGATAAGAGCCTACTTCTTGTACCACACAGGGAAGCTTCTTATTGGGCTAAAATAATAGACACCTTAATGAAAATCCTGTATCCAAACTCTTCTGATCAACTACAATGGACACTATTAATTTGCTTGTTTGCTACATTACTGAGTTCCTCATCTTTATTTGATAAGGCTGACTTTTTTTCTTTAAATAATATTAAAAGTAGTACTAATCTTGACTGTGTATTTAATGCTATTGTCTTCTGAATGCAATTTGCAGCTGAAGATCAGTGGGCTTGAATCCTAAGTTACCTGTCAGCAGCCTCTTCTATAAATAAAAGGATTTTTCTGAAATGCGAATTTTCTTATTTTAATTTTTTTTTTTATTTAATGTTCCAGTTAAAGCAACAGAAGTACCTGTCCCTTATGAGATCCATCAGGTGGATGGCAATCAGTGTTTGAAGCATTTGGACCATGTTTGTCATGAAGCTTCTGATGAAGAACTAAATTTAAAAGCCTTTTCCGAAGGATTAGCTTCCCCTGAGACATCGTCCAAGTCAAACAACTTCTCTCTGAGGTATGAAAGTGCCAAATCAGACTCTTCACTCCCAGAATTTCAGAAAGTGTCTGCAGTTTGGATTGACATCTCGGAAAGCTTCATGTCAGACTCTGAATTAGAGCTGAAAAATGGAGAGGACACAGATGTCAGTATCCCAGAGGAGTTTGTCTATGACAATGGTGATGTGTTTCCAAATGTTTCGAAAGAGATGCTAAGGGCAATAAGAAATGGAAAGGAAATGTTGTCTACTGACAAACCAGATGAACATGAAGTGACCACAGGTGATGGCACTAAGACTTCATCACACTCCCAGAAATACCCTGGAGATGTTTCACATCATGGCTCTACTGATGATTTGTTTTCTTTCATTCCATCAGACAAAGCAAATGCCTCCAAAACAAAGTCAGCACATCCCTCCCAATCTGATAACTCTGCCGAGGGAATGGATGTGCCACTTCTGGATGCCTCAGAAAATGACAGTAGAAGCGAAATCTTTTCTCAGGAGATCACAAAACAGGGTAAAGATTCAGTTGCCAGCTCTCCATGCAGTGACGGTATACACTCAGCCAAGAGCCATGAACAGCAGAAACCTGGTTCTCCAACTAGCAGAGTGAAAAAGGATGGTGGAATTAACAGTTTATTTGTGGATCAAGATAGAGACCTAATGGGGTTTCTGCTAACAGGTTCTTCAAAATGTCTAGATGTGGTTACTGAGCGATTTAGTAGCACTCTTCCACCTCACAAAGATACTTCAAATGATAAATCATTCGCCTGTCTATCTACAAGAAACTTACCGGTTTCAGGAGGTGAAAATAATCATGTACAGCTTTTGAATGACAGACTCACATCCACTGCAATCAGTAAGGTTGTATCTCTGTCCACGTCCATGCCAGAAATTTCCAAGGAAGCCCATGCAGAAACCAATTCATTAGAGTCTTTGCAAAGGGTGGCCACAGGAAATCAAAATAACTCGACAACTGAAAGGCAAGCCATGGAGACAGTGAAGAGGGAACAGTTTTCTTCTGTCTCCTTAAAAAAACAATTGTTTCAAGTCGAGAACTGTTCTTCCAAAGGTGAAGATGATACAATTTTTATTAGTGATGAGGATGTCCCTCCAACTGATGAGGATGCCTTGTCAGAAATACTGTCTCCTGTTGATGAAGTATTGTCCTATGGAAGTGCTGACTTGCCATCCTCTAATAAAAAGGATTTGTCATCTCCAAGCGAAGATCTTCCTCCTCCCCCTTTAGGCACAGATGCAATGAAAAATGATGATCCTAGCTTCAGTATGGATGATTTCCCATCTCCACCAGAACAAATGACAGTCTCAGAGACTAGACAGTGTATGGATGAAGATATATCACTCAAAATGGATGCATTACCCCCATTACCTGATAACACTGTGCCTGAAGAATTTCCCCTGCTCAGTGGAGAGACAACTGATGCTTTTTCAACTCAGGATGGTAGTATCTCAGAACAATCTTTAGTTAAAGATATTTCCAGTGCAAAGGAGGGCTTGTTAGAATACCAAGAAGGAGAACACGAGACAGCTTTGCAGCATTTGGAGTTTCTGCCTGTGTCAAATACTATTTCTTCTGGTCAGGCCAGTAAAAGTCCTGACTTCATGATGAAACAATGCAAAACAAACTTAACGCTGCCCAAAGCTGAGGAGGACAGTGATGACCCGTTTCTGTCATTTGAAATAGGGGACAGAGTGTTAGTAAAGCAGACCCAACCTGGAACCCTAATGTTCAAAGGGCGGACTTGTTTTGATAGTGGCCATTGGGCTGGTGTTGCACTCGACAAAGCTGAAGGTGATAACGCTGGAACTTACAAAGGGGTGAAGTATTTTGAGTGCGCTCAGCGCTGTGGTATCTTTGTCAGACCTGGGGAGATTTCACACCTGCTGGGGGCTAATGAAAATGCTTCCAATTATACTGGGGATGAAGATTCTGACTCCTCCTGTGATGACAAATCCTTCAAAGGCGACTGCAAATCCTCTGAAGATGATAAGCAAGGAGGAGGGCTCACAGAGCAGAAAGCAGAAGACACAAACAGTGCAGGAGGATCAGAAGTGAAAGAAAACCAGTCTAGGTCACACCTTGCCTTGCTGTCTGGAAAAGGGCAGAAGCTTCTGTGTTCTGACCAGTGTAAGTGTAATGAATTCCTCTGTCACAATAACTTAACGTGCTTGGGATCAGATAAAGAAAAAACAGAACTAACACAAATAAAACAAAGGATACTTGCAGGTGTGCTTCCAATGAAAAGTAAGACCAGTAACACAGATGATGTAAGAACAAGCAAAAATATTTGTTGCTTGGTAGAGGATCAGAAAATAAACAAACTCACTGATGATATTGCAAGTGAACTTGCTAAAAAACTTCTGTTTGACACTTTAATTGCACTTTCTGAAACAGCTCAACACAAATATAAAAGTGCCTTTGAAAAAGACATGATGAATTATGGCAAAGGCCTAGGACAAGAAGACAATCAGAAACAGTTTCTCCTCAAAGAAAATTCAGTTGCTATCGTATCTGAACAATCAGCAAAGGTTTCTGATGTTTCACTGTGTGATTTAGATATGCTTAGTATTCATGGTTGTCACACAGTAGCAGAAAGAATTGTAACTAAATTTGTAGATGATGCAGTTAAAGAATATAAGAAGATTAAAAGAAAACATGGATCGAAAGCAGACAAGATATTTCACTCATCTTCAGAGACTTCTCCAACCACCTTCCCAGTAAGTAAAGTCAAAAAGTTTTTGTCTACTTCAGTTTTGGACCTGAAATTTGGTCTATCCAGGCAAGCATTTGCGTTGTCCAGGTGCTTTTTATCATCCATAAAAATTACATCATGTCAACAAATATTTCAAAATGTTAAAAACTTTCATAGATCTCCAAATTTGGAATTACTTCTAATTCCGAATTCTGCCAAATACAGTTAAAACAGGTACTTTTTATGACACATTAGTAAGTCTTTCAATGAGCCTGTAAGACGATGGTTTAAGTGTAACCTTAACCAGCTGCTAATAATTGCAATACTTCTAAAAATTGTGGAAAAAATATGGAGTACGTCACCTGGCTTTTCTTTTTCTCTCTACTGAAGTTCCTTGTAAAAATCCTCGATGCTGGTGTTTTTGGAAGCTCTGAAGACTTTGATCAGCCTAATTTTGACCAACATATGCTGGCGAGACAAACACAAAAGCAATGCTTGTACAAATTAGATCAGTGGCACTCAGCTCCTTGGAAGAAAACTGTGGAAGTTCCTCTTGTGATACCACATTACAGTTCACATGTAAAGAAATTGTCTGCACGTGCTGTAGAAGAATTATGGACCCCAGAAAACGTATATTCAAATTTCAGGAGAATCAGTGTGCCGAAGCACTTTGAATGTAATGATCTGCCAGGGAACGATTTGGAAACAGAAAGCAAGAGGATGTATAATCAGGTATTTTTAAAGCACTGTTATTAAACTTTTCCAGTGTTCTGTAGGCTGACTCATATTAGCTAGTACTTAATATTATTCTAGCTGCTAATGCTAAATATAGCTAAAAGAACACCGAAAGAGGTATTGCAAAATACTGCTGCTGGTAATTTACTGCAAAATAATTCTGCTAGAATAGATGTCTGCTGTGATAAAAGCCTTTGGCTAGAGCTCTTCAATCGTACGGCTCTGGACACCTAGCCCAGGGTCTGGTTTGAGTCTGTTCAGAAAAAGCCAAGCTTCTGGAAAGCTGCAGTCTAAAGAGTCCAACTCTCCTGTCTTGGATGTCCTGCTGAGTTTGGACAGATCTTCATGTTCTTCAGCATCCTGAAGCTATTGAGTTTCACAGACCTCTGTCTACACAAAGAGATTAAAGGGTCCCATGAGAGCCTCTTGTATAAGCCATCCATACTTAGTGAGTGTTCACACATTACTAGGAGTCCAGTATCTTCTGCTGTACAGGTTTAGATGCTCTTTGGGTAATGCTCATCGTGACATCAGCTATAGGAACATCACTGATGCAAGTGATGTTAGGAAATTTTGCACTGAGATGCAAACCCCTGCTGTCTCCAGCTTAGCATCCTTCAGAAGAACTAAGAAAACTCTTGAAAGGGTATCAGTGAGAGATTCACTTTATATCAGTACTGTGGTTTTGTTACAGGTTATATGTGATTTGACCCATGAGTTGCTATGTGCAGAATATCAAGTGGCTACAAATCCAAATACATTTCCGTGGATGAAAGAAAATTTGAGATCTTACTGTTCCGGACATCTTTGCAGAAGAACAGATGTCAATGAGGTCAAGGTATGTTCTGGAAATGTAAAGTGTAGAATAACAAGAGTCAGTGAAGAGAGCAGATATAGCTATGGCAAAATGAGAAAAATATTAAATATGGAAGGATTATGGTAGTGTAACTGTGGGGACTAGAGAAGGAAACAGCATTGCTCTAAAATGCTTGAATAAACACAGACTGAGCCAATTAGTCTAAATATTCCAAGTGTATGGAATTCTGTAGAGGAATGGGAATTGGGCTTCTAAATTCTCCTGGTTATGACTATCTTGGGTGTCACCTCTAAAGTAATGTTATATTTAAAATGTATTGGTTGGCCAGTATTGATCAGCTACTTATAGACCAATTCCCTTTGGGACGTTTCTACATTTAAAGCTGGATGTTCAAGCTGGCGCCTGTCACTCGTTTCCTACATTCACAGTGACAGAATTCCTAGGAGAACAATTCTTTTCAGACGTTTTTATTTTGTAGATGTTTGTTCAGGGTGAAATCATTAAAATAATGAACCTGGAAAAGAATGACTTAGAAATGAAAAGAAAATTCCATAATATGACCAAGTATGGAAACTGTAAAAGAGACAGAGTGGACCTTATTCTGGTAAGCAGACTTCCAAATGGAGATTTGTTTACTTTCGATTCTCATGCTTTTGTGAGAATCATGTTTACTTTAAAAAAAACCTACAGAACTTCAAGTTACCGGTTTCCTTTCCAGTACACTTGCAATAATTTCCAGTTCTTTTGAGTGGTTTAAATTAAATGAATTAACAATGCATATAAAGTTGTTGGATTAGATACAGTGTCTTAGTACATCTCAGAACAGAATCTGCTCTTATTCTTGAAGTAAGCATTGATATCCATGTTATATTTTAGATTCAGGAGCTCCACAAAGAAGAATATCAATGGACATACTATGACGACGATGAATTGACTGTGAAGATGAGAATGACTGAAGACATATTTGATAGCTTGATCCTTGATACAATCAGAGTTCTTAATAAGATTTATCGAAGAAAAGCCTGTAATTAGAAGTTTTTCCTAGAAGTCTCTATGGGAGGAATTTTAATCTCTGATGTTTTTTAGCAGGAAAAGCACCATTTAATAATTTTAACTCTGAACTTGTAACCAATATCAGTGTGGCCTTGGCTTAATTTATATGTTCATGTTTACAATGAATAAAAGGATGCAAACAGAGACTAATGAAGCTTTCTGAGATGTCAACCCAAACAGAGACAGGGCGCATTAGCTGTTGATTTTGTACTGTAAACTATTTTCATGTCCATTGTGGTACGTTTTAAGTTTCTGACTTTTACCATCATTGACTAATTAATCCATATAAGTTATTTGTTCTAAGATTAATGCTTTCTTGCTGTCAGTTTATAGCGGAATTTAACTCATTTTTTTTTCTCCTGGACTTATAGACAAATTGTTGGATACAATGACAAATCTATATACTGAAGCACTACAGTTTTTCAGTTTCTTGTTGCTACAGTTTTGAAGCAGCAGCAGGATTCTTGTATTTGGAATGAAAGCTATTAAAAATATAACTTTTATATGTGAATGAATAGATGAAGGACTCATTTCATCTCATACTGGTGCCTTATGTTACGCTATATGTTACACTTGAGGAAGATAACCATTATCTTTGCAATTAGGTTTGTGAGTGAAGCCTGAACCCTTGCAAGATACTATATACAGAAGGACATAGCTATAAAGTAAGTAGTGCTGATGAGAATAAACAGTGTATACATAGAACATGTCAGACATATTTAATATCCCCTACCATTCTGTGTTCAAAACCTTAGATTCTGGCACCCAGATATATTGACCTGTTCAGTCAGTGGCAAGACTTCAATATCAAGATTACTCTCCTTCAAGGTCTAATATTTTGTTTGCCTTGGTTTTGATCAATATTAACCTCCTGGGTCAATAAATCTTGATACTAGCCTCAAGAGGAGTCATTATCTTTCATAGAAAATGATTATTTCTCAGTTAAACCCTACATTTAATTTTCCTGTAATCCATCTCTTTCATCGTCACACATTTAACAACTCTTTGAATAAAATGCACTCTAAAATAACTTAGGCGTTGCAGATTTTAAAATCCCAATTAGCAGCTGCCAGAAGATTTTTCAATTCTTTGAAGCTGTTGGACTCTGCTATTTTAACTATCTAATTTTGTTGCTTACAGTACCCAGGAAAAACAGAGAGAGAAGTGCCCTCAGCTGGGTTGTGATAGCTGTGGATATGGATGCAAAAGATAAGTGACTGAACCACGTCAGATATTAAATGTCAAGAAAAGATCAGGAAAAGGCAAAGACAGCAGAACCTCTTACTCAGTTCTTAGAGAAGAGAAATTTTACTGTTTGTGATCCTCACCCTTGTAGTGTCCGTGGATTACTGTCCAGAAACAATGATAAACTAGATTCTAACTTCTGAATTTACACCGGTGGGCCTGAAGTAAGAATTTGGACCCATTTGTTTCCTGCTTGTTCTTGAAGGATTAAAAGAAGTGTTTGTGAGGAACAGAAGCAAGAATTATCTTTTTGGTGACCTCAGTCTTTCATTACCTGAGTTTTAAAATCCTCTGAAGTCGTCCTCTGGGGATGTTTTCTCTGTTGGTTTTCTGCCTGTGTTAATGTAATGACAATTCTTCAGCCTGTATTTACAAATGAAAGGAGACTTTCATGTTGTGGCTAGAGCTATAAAAGGAGCTAAAATCCGTTAGCAGCGTGCAATCAAACTGAATTTGCTAAAAGGACAGAGTTTCTAGCATCCTCTTCAGAATTCACAGCATCCTGCCTGCAGCCTTTTATTGCCCTTTCAGTTTTGAGGAGAAATGGCTCTTCCCTGCCAAGTGATGTGCTTTGGGAGGAAACAGTTTTGACCCAAAGGCCAGGCTATTTTTCTTCTCAGTGAGAAGGGTCATGAAGTTGAAACTTCTGTTTCTATAGCGGATTGCTCCGTAAAATTGGCCACCAAGCTAGGGGTTTAGCCTCAGTATTTTACTTTTTTTTTCCTTTAATGTCTCTGAGGGAAACGTGACTCTGAACAGAGCGGCAAAAGGTTTATCGCCGGTGTCTCCCTATCACCAGGGTTTGGTAACGCACTTGGGTAACGAAGGGGAAAGGAGGGAGTGACCCTTCCACCTCCCTCCCCCTGGGCCGGGGGGGGTGAGGCCATGGCGGCCGGCGGTTCCTGGGGGGCGGCCGCCAACAGGTGCGTCTCCAGCCGGGGCAAAGGCAGTGTCGCCGCTTATAGTCGGTGTGGCGTTGGGGACAGCGGGCAGCGCCTCATCGCTTATTTTCGCACAGGGGAACCCCGCTTCCCTCAGAGGTGACCCGGGGCCGGGCCTCCCTGTCGGGGCCGGGCAGGGCCGGGCCGGGCCGCGCTAGGCCGCGTCTCTAGGGCCGGCGCGTTGCTATGGCGCCGCCCGGCCCCGCCCCTCGCCGCGCGCCGCTGGCGTCCCAACATGGCGGCGGCGGGCGGCAGCGGGCCGCTGGTGCTGCTGGCCCTGCTGCTGGCGGCGGCGGCGGCACGGCTCTACCGGGCCGGGGAGGACCCGCTGACCGTGCTGGCGGCCGGCTCGGTGAGGCAGGCGCTGCTCAACTCCTCGGCCGCCTGGGTGGTGCAGTTCTACAGCTCGTCCTGCGGCCACTGCATCGCCTTCGCCCCCACCTGGCGGGCCTTGGCGGGGGACGTTAAAGGTGAGGCGCCGCCGCCGCCGCCCCCTCCGCTGCGGGTTTTCACCGGGCACCCCGCACCCGGGGAGCGGCCACTGTCGCCGCCCGGTTCTCGGCAGCTCTGCTCGGCGAAGGGCCAGGCTGCCGCCGGCCTGACCCGCAGCCCCCGCCGGCCTGACCCGCAGCCCCCGCGGCCTCTCTCCGGGCCGCCGCCGGTCAGTCCTCGGTGCCGGCACCGGGGCGCCCGTGTGGGCCGCAGCGGGGGCTCGGCTTATGCGGTCACTCGTGGGGCGCTGGGCTGCGGTGGGGCCTCGGCACGCGTGCGGGACAGCGGGGTCTGGGCTGGTGGTGTCACCCGTGGGCTTGGCGGGGCCTTCACACGTGTGGGTCTCCTCTCGTCTTGGTGGCTCTCCTCTCTTCTTGGTTCTGGGGTGGCAGGCACAGCCACGGAACGGCCCACCGGGCAGAGCGAGGTACGGCTGAGAGTAGCAAGTCTCCAAAATCAAACGTTTCTCAGAAATCCAGGCATAAAATACCCTCACACGCAGGGATCCAGCTGCAGGTTTGCGCTCTGTGCATGCAAGGGGATGCGCTGGGGCACAGGAGGTATGTTTCAACTAAACTCTCTGAGGCAAGATCTTTATCTTCTGTATGTTTTGTAAAGAGACCAGCCTGTTTTAGTGGCTAACCAAAAAATAAATATTGTGGTACTGTAAGAGGCCATGCATGTGTTTGATTTATGTCTTCTGAATTCAGTGTAGCATGAACGGACTGGGAAAAGAACTGCCAGGAAATAATATAAAACTCACTGAGAGTCAGATTTTCAGATTTATCAAATAGTGACTTGAAATTATGGCCTCTGTGCTTTATATCAAGGGAGACTTGCATTGCTGTGGCTTAGTCTGCTCAGGTTTTTTTGCAGGAACTGAAGTGTTTTACTCTAGTTGTAGATCTAAGGTAAGGAAACAAACAGCCCCCTCAGGTCCATGCCTTTGGTGGGGCAAAGACCTGAGATCAGATCTGTAGGAAATGTTATGCTTAATATAGTGGTGTTAAAGGCTGTTAAACTACTCTTAATTTAGCTTTTGACGTTCATTCCATTCGTTTGGATGGAGACAGTGGTTCAAATGCTTTCTTATAGTCTCAATTTGAGAGGGAGTGAAGAGCTCTGGCTTGTCTCTGGCAGCCTTGCATGTGAAAAGTGTTGATGGTTAATATGAAATGTAGGTGCAATATGAGGTGCACGTGGTTGTAGATACACGGAAATGGAGGCCTACCCAAAAATAGGTTCTGACAAACTCATCACATGGTGAGGGTTGCTGACTGAGGAGCAGAAACTCCAAAACCGAGAAATGCAGAGCAGTAATGGTTTCAGAGCACTTTAAATGTTCCTTACTTGCATGGTTGTTTTGTTTATAAAAGCAGTAGCTTTTTTTCTGTTTTCTTTGCATAAGTTTGTGTAACATTTTCATCTTGTCATTTGATTTGCTTGTGGTCAGAATAGTATTAGATTTCCTTCTTTTTTGAAGAAGGGTAAGAACAAGGAGGTGTTTTGAACACTGCAGTGAAGATCGTGAAGGGCTTCAACTGACCAGAGCTTTTGTCAAAATAAGACAGGGGCATGTTTGTGTGTCACTACAGCAGCATCATACCTTTGGAGGCAATATTTTTTTGTAACTTGTAATGACTTCTTCAAACTTTACTTTTTTTATTCTCACCTGCAGTCATGATAACTCCAAATAATGTTACGTGCTTGTATTACTCTAACCATTTGAAGGCCTATCTGCTTCTTAGTTCATTGAGTTTTTATGAAGACTTATACTTAAAAAGTGGATTTTTATATGTGGACATTGGCACTACCAGCAAATGCAATTGGCTTCTGGTGTTATTTGTCAGCAAAATGTTTCTGTTTTAAAGTTGGCATGAGTGGATTTCAGTAGGAGACTGAGAACAGTCACAGTTTTCATCTGTAGCTTCATCCAAAAATAAACCCAAAATGTTTCATCCACTTAGGCTGTTTTAGCATTTATTTTTCAAAAATGTTTACTCATCTGCTAGGATATTACAGCCATCTTTGAGGGTGCAGACTCATCTACATTAGAGAGCTCACTGTGGCTGTATTTGCTAATTTGGTTCAGTCCTGTTAAATTGGCACAACTCCTTCATCCATAAAAGGCCTGTGGTAATATACTTAATTTTTATTTCAGTTCTCATTTGTTAAATCTTGGCAATACTATCATTGTAAATTTCATAGCAGGAGGTAATCCTCCTGAAAAATAGGAGCAGTGATTGCTTTTGTGTAATTTACATTTTGAGTTTGATTCTGCCTCTCCTCTCAGAAGAGGCTTTAAGCTTAGAGTAGTTGCTGCTGCATTCCTAATCACACATTTAGTTTCATTACAGTAGTGGCTAAAGTGGCCATTATAGTTAATTGTACTTTTTCTGTCTTAAAAGATGATTGAATCTATCCACCAAAATGCCTGTGGGCTGGGATTATGTGTAGTAATTTTCTGTGTAGAAGTAACAAACCCTTGGAGATCTCATATACGACAACTCTTGAATTATATGCAGAAGCAATCCACTCCTCTGGATTTGGAACAACTGTTCCAAATCTAGCAATTGTTCTTCCAAATCTTGCAAGAATGGTTTCTGCAGAAATCTTGTCATTATTCAGGAAGCAGCCTGTGTGTTAAAATACATAGCTCTTAGGTAGCAGGCAGGGAGAGAAGTTCCTTGTGATCTTGTCTCCCTGGCTGAAACTTCACAATTGAAGTTAACACACAGCATCTGCCTGCTGGAGGAAATACACAAGGTTTATGTGAAGAAAGTGTCTTCCTGGTAATGCAGGGTGACTGGTGTGCTGGTATTCCATAGCATTTCTTAAGTGGGAGGTTGAAGCAACCTGCTGGATTTCCAGATTGTCCAGTACATTCATGTCATTGGTTGGAACTTGGTTAGCATAAAGAGAAATAGTATTGGTTAATGTGATATCACTCATCTACCCCTTTTCCTGTAGTTTGTGAGTTACTATTTCAAAAATACTAATGCTAATTTAAAATTAATCAGCATTTAAAAAAAAAACAAACAACAATCCAGGCTACGGTGCCACTGTAAACTCACATAGCCTAGGCTGTGCACGCCAGCGACTTTGGCATCCTTTAGAAAGGAAAAGGTCCTTTTAAAGCAGAAGCAAATGCTAAGCAGCACACATCCCAGCTGGTGCTCTTTAACCCAAGTATTTATCTGGAGATGGGTTTGCATTGTTGCGAGGAGGCAATTTGCATTAGGTTCATAGTGCTCCTATTCATTGCGTGGAGGAGGATGGAGACAGGTGGAAAAAGGAGGAGGAGTGGTGAAAGTTGAATGAGATAGATACCCAGAAGCCAAACTTTATTTATTTATTTATTTATTTTGCATTTTGTTTGGTGAAATAGACTGTTGTATCTTTTGTGCTCCTGTGAATACGTGCCCATCTGCTCTGCCATGCTTGGAGTTACTCCTGGTGCCTGTTCAGCACAACTGAAATTCTCCCTCAGCTGCCCCATCCTCCTCCAAAGACAAACAAAGGTCAAGCTAGATTTCAAAAGCAACTAGGCATGCAGCTGTCAATCACATCTTGAACTTGATGAAGATTTCATGCTCTTTGGTGTAAAAACAAGTTTAATTTTAGTGCTTTTTAAATTTTATTGATACTCAGGAATTGTGGTGTGCCTTCGAATTCTGCCCACAGCTACTTGGATTTAGCTTGGCTTTAAAAAGTAACTGTCTAAGGAATGTCTTGGAGACAGTTCTTCCTTAAAGTGATTGCTGCAGTGGAGCATGGCTCAAAAAGATAAGTTCCTAGCAAAATGAGAAGTAAAAAGCAATAAATGAGTTGAAAGCTTTTATTGAAGTTATATAAGCATGTTTATAGAAATACTTGGAACTCTTGTGGTTATTGCCATGAAACATTTATAAAGGAAACTTACTGTGATGTTCAAAATCAACTATTGAGCAGTCTGGTTAAAACTCAAATATTTTTTGAGGTATATCTAATGTGTTCCTGAACAGTACTAAAAGATAGAGGCAACTTTTGGTAGATAATATGCGAGTCCTTGGTTGTGTGCAGTTCTGGAGAAAATTTAAGTTTGGTAAATAGCGAGTCCTTGTTAAAACAGCTATAATACAAGATGCATCAAATTGATTGTTTTGTAATTGACAGCCATGTGGATGAGCAACTGTTGGATTAATTTTATTCAGTTATATGTATTATGCATGCTTTACTTCATGAGCTTAGCTAACAGGAAAAGCTAGAGAATACTAGCTGGGTAATACATTCTCATATCTTGCAAGTGTTGGGTTGGCCCCTATTTCATCCTCCTGGAGTCAATAAAATGTTTTCAGCCCTGGAACGGCTACATTGCACGTGGTGGGATTCTTTTTTATTTAGGTGTACTGAAAATACTGCTGCAGCTAAGACAAACAGGGTGGTTTTAGTTATTTTAAAAATCAGTAGGTTGTATTACACTTGAGGATAGAAATGAATAGCAAATGAGAATCGACTGTGGGCTTGATTTTTATGCCCCTGGAATCTCTGGGAGTGCTGCTGGTGACTTCCGTGGGCAGCAGGGCAATCCATCAGCTGGGATCCGAGATCACTTCTGCTGAGAATTGAAAGATATCTTTGTTTTCAGACTGGGAATCTGCAATTAGAGTTGGTGTGCTGGATTGTGGGGAAGAAGAGAACTACGAGACGTGCAAAGAATATGGTATTCACTATTACCCGACTTTTAGGGTAAGTGGCTTAATATATTGCCTCAGGTAAATAATGCATGCTTTGGAGTAACTAAAACCATAATAAACTTGCTTGCACGGAGTGTGACATGCAACTAGTTCTTTAGCTGGACTTTTCCTTTGCTTTTGCTGAAAAAGGTGCAGGATTGATAAAAGATTAATTCAAGTTCTTGCTGATGCAGTTATTTATAGCAGTAATTCACTCCTCTGTTCTGAATCTGAAAAATTCTTATTGAAAGAAGATACCATTCTAGAAAGTGCCATATTGTTAAAATGTATATAATACCTAGTTGTTGTAATATATTTAATAGATAAAAACAATTTGTATAAATATTTTTCAAATTAAGATGTTCGTGATTATTAATAGTGTTTTTAGTTTTGGTGTGTTGAAAGTAAAGGTAATACATTTCAATTGCATTTCAAGACCAATTAAAAATTTAGCCTTGATTGATCCTTCAGTATTTTTCTAATTAATTTTGTACTTTGCTTAAACTGGCTGTTAAAAGGGATCTTGTGTTTGCCAAAAGGATCTGCCATTGTTCATTTCTGTGTCTAAGTGCAATTTTTAACTTCTCTGTCTTTGTCAAACCGTATAATCACATTATTAACTGTAAGTGTGAGCAGAATGTGATGGATGGAGAGGATTGAATAAACTGTGCTTGTTATGACAGGAGAGGGAACAGGAGACATTTCACTGTAGAATTTGTGATGTTCTTCCCTTTACAAAGAACAATTGGGGGTGGTTTTTTTTCATCTTTAAAGTTTTGGGTATAAATTGGAATGTACTCTTTAGGGTTTTTTTAATAGCAGAAGGCAAACAGGCTCCATTATATATCCTGTTTAACCACTGGAGGGAGTTGAGAAAATGTGAATAGTGTTCTAAGTATATACACAGCTGTTAGTACTGATTTGTTAATAATTTAATTCATATTTGGGTTATTGTTTGCAGTAATGGCTCGATATACAGTATTGAATTATGCATTACAGTATTTTTCCTTTAACAGTTGGCTTTATAGTATATCAGTTTCAACTGGTGCATATGAGCCACCCTCATATAGAGAAGCAGGTCTTTGGAACTCATAGGTTAAGAGGGAAAACTGTCTTCTGAACAAATAGATAAAAATGTTTTGTAATTATAGCCATAAGAAGTAAAAAAATTCTTGAAAGCCGTTTTTGTTTCTAAACTGAGCTTTTGTCTGATACAGTGAGTTATTTTCAAAGCAATAATACTTTTTTTTTTTCTTCCACATAGTACTTCAAAGCATTTACAAAGCAGTTTACTACTGGAGAAAATTACAAAGGTAAGAATATCCTACTGTAAGAAATCCCGAAATTCCATGTCCTGTCAATTAGTTTGGACAGCCAGGGATGGGATGGACAGTAAATAGCTCCTTAAGATACGATATTACAAGTACTGTGTGAAAAGGGAATGTCGGGCAGAATTATAGACAGGCAAAACATTTGTTCAAAAGCTTAGTGCTCACATTCTGCTTTTTTTTTTTTTTTAATGTAATTCTTTTTCACAAATGGCTAGATAATTTTTTTACAATTCCTTTTTTCCCCCCCACGCACCTCATCAGCATGAGATCCAATTTGCTCAATCCTGACTCTGGTGCTTTTTGATCTGTCAGCCACTTTCCAGGCATCCTGAATCTCCCAGGGATAACCCCTATTCAGATGTTGACTAACTGAAAACAGGCTTATCCTGTGTGTCTGACAGGATCACAGCTTGAGGTGGTTTGTCTGGGGACAAAAGTAATGTTGTCTTTTTCAATGGATTAACATTTAAAAGGCCAGAGGTCAGAAGAGAGACCACCTGCACCATTAACCCTTTGTGTTAGAGACAGACCATAGTTGTACCTGTTACTTCTTGACATTTGTGAGAGCTTCTGCTTTTTAATTTATTTATTTTAAAGCAAATAAAATATTCTCACACTTCCTCATATTTTTACGAGGCTTTGTAACCTCACCTGGCCCGTGTGGTGAGAATGAGACACCTTTGCATTTTTTAATGCACGATGAATATACTTATTGCAAAAAAGCTACTGAATTTGTCCATGCGAACTATTGTGAAAACGAGCACAGATTTAGAATGAAGTGTGGTTTGAAGAGAAAATCGGGAAGGTAGACAGATGGTTAGATTTGGAAAAGTCTTGAGATTTTATTGATTTTTTTTTTTTTTTTTTTTTTGGGGGGGGGCAAAAGGGTAAAAGCCTGCAGCAGGGTGCTGTGCTGCAAAAAATACGCTTTGGCTCTGCTGAATACCCGGTTCCTGAATCTCACGGTGTATCCTGGTTGTCTGCTTCGTGGGTGAACCATGAGATTTTTTTTTTTTTTTTTTTTTTGGAGTGGGATGACAGCTTTTAAATATGATCTCATCTCAACATTAAAATGAAATCGTACAACTAAATCCTTACTCCCTGTCCTGCAGCCAAATAGTATTGTATTTTTTAAGTTTAAATTTCAAACAAAAACCAGACACAGAAAAGTATGAGAATATATGAAAAACTGCATGTTAATAATTTTTTCTCAGTTTACTGGAGTGTTTTATTTTTTTTGTTAACCTGTACTCAGCAGGAGCAGATCGAGAGCTGCAAACAGTTCGTCAGATGATGATTGACTTCTTACAGAACCATTCCCAAGAGTTGAGGCCTCCTGCTTGCCCTCCATTGGATCCAGTTTCGTAAGTTTCTTGTTGAAAATACAGTTCGTGTGTGCTAACTATGTTCATTAAATGAAATGTCAAAGGTCCTATTAGAGATGAAGTGAGCTTTTTTCCTTTTTATCAGTTCTGCTGTGAGATCATAAAGGGAAACTCTGTCAGTGGGTACATTGCATTCTACCTGCAGTAAATAACTTTTCTTTTTTTAAAAGGTCCAGCGAGATTACTTCTCTTTTTGACAAGAACAGCCATCATTACACAGCCATTGTGTTTGAGAGTAATAATTCCTATGTTGGACGAGAGGTAATGTAAACTTACAAATGGCATAATGAATATCAATGAATGTTATCATAACACAGCTGAGTTTTATGTTATTTAGCCAAGCAACAACATTTCTGATTATATGACTGAATTAAAGGGTTATAAGGGGCAGGTTGTGCGTATTTGAGATATCACAAAGTCAAGGAATTACAGAGGGCTGTTGTATTTAGTCACACAAAAGAAGTTGCTTACAAATGAATGAGATGTCATGTTAACTTCTTCTATTCATGTTTTAGTGGAAGATTAATGTATCAATTTCATTGTTAGCACGATTCTCTTGTCTTTCAAGACAAGTACAAAAGTATTGTCAGACTATTATTTTGTTACTGCTAGAGAACTGTTCATAATATTCATTCTTCTGGACATCTTTTGGGATTTCAGCTGTTTATAATAATCTAAATCCTCTAGTTCTCTTTCTTCACACATAGGTTTTAGGAAAATATGTTCTAAAATAGGATGATAGCTTAAAATTATTTTCACAGCTCTGAGGCACTGAGGAAGTGGAAGTCTTTGGTTTTTTGCTTCCCCCAACCCCCCAGTAAAATATTTGATTTGGCATCGTTTCACCACCTAATGAGCCTGCTGTTAGCTTAGACAACTGTTACTTTTCTCTTCCTGCCAAGACCTAGGATAAGTAAAGAAAATAAATTGCATAATTATCTAGGCATAATCTGTGTAGAAACATCCAGTGTCTGTGAAATGTTTCTAATTAGATCTGATGCTGAGATGGCCCAGTTGCACAAGTGGAGGAGGGTGTGCTGCCAAAAGCGAGAATCGCTTGGAGAAGCAGGCTGCTTCCAGACATTTGTTTTCTGGAAGCTGCTGTGTTGAAACAAGTGGGCATTACTGAAGAGAAGAAAGGTGATGGTTATAAAGTTCCTCAGCATTTTATCAAAATCGCTTTAATTTGATTACCTGTCTGATAGAGGGAAAGACTGAGTGTCATCTGATTAACAGAAAGTGGAGTCTGATTTCAGAAGAAGAAAATATTTGCTGATGTTATGTAGTATTTTAGCTGCATAGAATAGCTTAGTGAAATAGAAAATAACATTGTTTTCAAGTTTACAGTATAAGACAATATAGACAAAACTAATAGAAATCATGAGAGCTGCAGAAAGGGAGGTCATGCATTTATCACTGATGAAAGGAAGGTCTCTTAATTACAAGTTTGAGGGAAAACTTGCAAGGATAATATTCACCTGAAAGGGAAGAGTACAGTTGAAACTGTGAAACTAACAACAGAAAAAAAGAATAGAAGAATCAGAGTTGGCAGAGAGCTTTTAATAGTTGAGTCCTGGCAAATCTCTGAGGCTCCCTGATGTTACCACCTTCTGCCGCCTCCACCCTTTACTGAAGTTTACACCTTGCAAAAAAATTTGTGCCCATTCCCAGCTGCTTTAGTGCAAAAGCCCAGCGACTGGTTTGAGCTAAAATGCTGGACTTTGAACTGGAACTTTTGAGATACCTGAGAACCTATCCCTATGTGGAGTCTCTGCTGGGGGATTGGTAAGGAAAAAGAGCTGAACAGCCAGCTGGGTGCTGGGGCACCAGAGGCTACACAGCTTGATTTGGCAGGGTTTGCCAGGCAAAGCCTTAACTCCTGTAAGCCCTTAGGTTGTTTCTAAGGCATGGAGTTTGACATCAGAATTTCCTAAAGTAGTGGGACCAAATAAATGTTTTTTCACTACCTGGAAATTTGCCTTTAGACTCATATATATATATATAAAACATGAAACATAAACCTGTTGGTGCCTTTGGAATATCATCTGCGCTACTTTAGGTTTATGAGGACATTCTATCATTCATTCTTATGTTTTCTTCAGATGTCAGATTTCAAAGGGAGAAGGTCAGTATAGACCCAAGAAAAAAATGGAAGATAGGAGTAAATAATTTCTGGAGAAGGGTAAATCTTCTTTAACTGAAATTGTTCATGTCCACAAAATACTCGTGGATGTGCTGCCTTGGCGAACAGCATAATGATACCCTTAAAGGATGATGCACTTCACCTATTTATACGTCTTGTCCTACAAGATTGGATATTCCTTGAACAATGTATAATTCATGTCATCTTTTCATTACCCAGGTTATCTTAGACTTGATCCAGTATGAAAACATTGTTGTGAAGAGAGCGTTGAATTTTGATAAGCCTTTTCTTGAGAAACTTGGTATCACCTCAGTCCCTTCATGCTATCTGGTACATCCAAATGGGTCCCGTGGATTAATTAACAAGTAAGTCGTTATCTGTCTGAGGAATATGGGCAAGTTCACTTAAGCTATAAAAAGAGTTTCCGTAGCTTCCTTTCCTACAAAGTAAATTACTCTATAACCTTTTGCATGTGTATAATGACTTGTGTCCTGGTGTGTAATCAATACACTGTACTGACTGAAGCTGTGTGTTCTGTTTGTTTGTTTGAAAATTACTTGTCTTGAGCACTCTCTAGCAATTATCAAATAATCTGGTGTTACTGTTTACTCTCTGTGAGCGCTTGTAATACACAGATGTGGGTTGTGCCAGTGGAAATTAGACTTCATTGGACAGTAGGGAAGATTAGCCAAAATGGGATGATTAACTATAATAACAAGTTTATACTGGTGACAAAACTCACTTGTGAAGTAATGACCTCAAGTAGTGTTTCTGAGTGGAAATAAAAGCTCTGATGTAATGTTTGTTATATGGAGTTTGATATGGTGGGAGCAATGAGCTGATTGTTCCTAACAAATCATAAAACAAAGTGAATATTTTATTTTATACATTTACTAAATTGCTTTGGATATTCGTTCAGTCTGAGAATAAAAGTAATCTTTAATTTGTCCATTTATATACAGTTTGAAGCCTCTACGGTCTTTCTTTTCTTCATATTTAAAGTCGCTGCCAGGCGTAAGAAAAAAGCTTCTTTTGCCACTTCAGCTCCCTGTTCCAGAAAACAGAGAGGAGGGTACAGAAATCAAAGTGTGGAAAGAGTTCGATAAGTAAGTGATCCCCTTGATTTTCAGATCAATGCTTGGTTATTAAAATTCACTTGCAGATTTTTCTTGCTATGTGGGAAGCTCTACTGTAGTTTATTATTGAAACCTAGTGCAGTTCAAAATTCCATCCCAGGTGGTGCACCTTGAGTTGAATAAGTTGGTCGCTACTGAATGATCTGCATTCTTCTGCCTAGTGAAATTAAAGGCATTTGTGCTTAATACTGGAGAAATTATGGCATCGAAGCTGTTGGTTCAAATTCGTCCATTTCTCAGTATATTCAGGTAACACTTGTAAATTATTTCAGTTCTACCATCAAGATTACAACTTCTTTACGAATGTGAGCAGTGTTTCAAAAAAGTCAGAAGTGAAATTACTGAGGACTGCCAGTATTTGGTTGTTAGCAAGAAGCATTCCTTGTTTAGCAGCAAGGAATGTTTTTCTCCAAAAGTATTGCTTAATACTTAATTGACTTAAAAATGCCAAGGAGCAGCTGAAGTATATGATTTGAATTGTTGGAAAAACTTCAGCAAGTAATTGATGTCCTTGAAAAAATAAATAGTAAAATAATGAGCTATGACATTTCTGTAGAAAAGCAGAATTGTCTGTGTGCATAATAGGGAAGCAGTGCCCACTAAAAAGTGCTTGTCAAATGCAAGTGTAACATAAAATACTAAAGTCACTGTAAAAGATGTTTATCATACAAAATCCGGTAAGGTTTATCTTCACCCTCTTTCCCTCTTTGTTTGAGAGAAGGATGCAAAGGCTTTGTAGAGAGATAATCCCTCAGCATCTTTAGATGGAAAAGATGTAGGACTGAGTGCTTTCATTTTGTACTTATTTTCCTTTCCTAGATGCTATTAATGTCATCTCCTTTCAATGACTATTATAAAATATTTTACATGAAACATTCTGTTATCAAAACAACTTAGTTAAATTGAGCTGCTTTCCAGCAAGACAAAATCTTGGTGATGTGACTCTCCAGTCCAAGTGGCTTCTAAATAGGATCCTTTGGGAGAACCTCATGCATTCATATGGATGTCTCTTCATTTAAGAAACTTGAAGCAGAATTTTGCTGGTTTTTAAAATTTAAGTGAGTACGCTATTAAGGAGATAAGTTCAGAATAAGTCTGTAGTTTGAGTTAAGAATATAGATTATTCTGCATTTTACTATGTTATTTCCTGTGTTTTGTTTAGGAGGTGGGGGCAGCCAGTTCCTAAAATGATTGTTCTTTTAATTCTATTTGTTTTAGAAATAATACTGCTGCTGAACTCTTATAAGAAGCATTAACTCTAACTATGTGAACTTTTGTTTGTTCACTTGCATTGCTCTGTATCATACTGTCTAAAGTTTGTACTCTGAAAGCATTGAAAGGTAGGGTCTTGCATTTGTACTTTGTAAAATGTTTTTTGATGTTATGGAGATATTTGGTTGTGAGAAGGAACTCTTAAAATCTTTCATTTGTTTTATTTGTTTCACTTGTACCTGTCGTAAGGCGCCTAATTCTGCTTTAAGAGCTGCTGTGATTAAAATTAACTGTTAAACTTGTGTGCAAAGAACCTACTGTAAAACTGCTGCATTTGGGAGAGGATTTCTGGATTCAGTCCTTTCCAGCATTGACCTTTTTCAGTCTTGTTTGCACTTCTGCTCTGTGTATGTTCAACAAAAGTCTCCCTTTTTTCATAGCCTGTAATTTTCTCTTTGTGGTCAGTCCTGAGAGAAGCTGTAATTTCTTTACATGAGCTATTTCCTTGTTGACAATGTCAGGGTTATAATTTCATTACAAGGTAAAGCTGGCTGGGAGGCAAAGCGTTTAGTCAAATATAAAAATTCTTGTGTGTGGTTATGCTTCATTTGTCTAAACTCTGAACAAAATGACATAAAATTACTCTTTTTGGAGGGTACGGTGAAAACTCATTGAACTTGACATTCACCATACCCAGCACCTGGAGTAGCTGCTGTGACTTCCCTTAGTGGTGCAGGACAGACTGCAATCACTGTGGAGTGGCAAATGTTGAGGTTTTAATGACACCCCCTATATATCAATTTTACCTTCATGACTGGTGAGAAAATGAGCGAAAGAAACCTGCCACTTTATAACGTTATATATGTGTGTGTTTCAGATCCAAGCTGTACATGGCTGACCTTGAGTCAGGATTGCATTACCTGCTCAGGGTAGAGCTCGCCACGCACAAGACACTTGAGGGAGCTGAGCTCAAGACCTTCAAGGATTTTGTTACCGTCTCTGCCAAGGTATACACTTGTAGTCTTTGATTATTTGTAAGAATAAAGTGGCTCTAACATAAAATTTATTGTGTGACATAAGTCTCTCAAAATGTCTTTCAGAATGTTTAAATATATGCTTCCTCGCTGGCTTAAAAAAAATAGTTTTGTGGGTTTCTTTAAATGTTATTTTTGAGTTATTGTATGCCGTTCTGACACACTTATAGGGCTGAAATGCATTTAATTTAATCTTGGAGGGCTTGAAATTAAATAAAGCTTAAGTGCTTTGCAGCATATTGAACAAACACTGTAAATATAGTCCATTTATCAGATTTTTCAGCATAAGTAGCTATTGTAAATGAGTGGGATTTAAAAAACCCTTTGTTTTTCATTCTTGACTTTTGGATTTTGTTAATGCATACTTGACAAATGGTGTTGTGTTTAGAGAGATTAGTAACTTCTGTCTAAATTTTGAATATAATTGAGGTATTGCATTTAATTGGGTATTTAAAAATAATTGAGGTATTGAATATAACTGAGCGTTTCAAAAATCAAGATGCTTACATATTACATTTGTGTGAAGGGACAATGTATGTGAAATAATGTGATGGGACCTGAAAAAAAAAAAAAATAAAAAAATTTAACTTTATAACATCAGCCTGCTGAAGTAACCAGTGTCTCTTTACATTTACTTACTGAGTGGTTAACACTTTTATTTTAAAGGAAGTGAATCAATAGCTATTTAAGGGAATAATAAGGCCTATATGAACTATTTCCAAATATCTGGATTTATCTGAAAATCAGACAGACTGTTTCTTGTCCCCCCGCCCCCTGCAGCCATCAGAGGTCAGAAATCTCTAGCTGGCCTCATTTCTTTAAGAAAGTGTAGTGGTAATCTTTCCATCATATTATCCCTAAAACATCCTCTGGGCTTCCTGATGGCTCCTGGCCAGCTGATGTCATTTGCTTCCCCGGCTATTAGTGCATAAATGGGGAATGCTCTCTTTTTTTTAGTTGCATGCTCATCTCCAGGCTCCCACTGCTCATGTGGGGGCTGCTCTCCTCTGGCATTCTTGGTTGTGTACCACTTTCCTTGGAGTTCTCGTTCATGAGTCTCAGGTCTTTCTGTTGGGACACTTTTTATACTGTCCCCCTGTGTAACAGCATTTGTAGCAATGATAGATCCCAAGTCACAGAGGTTTCTGGGGAAACTTTCATTGTTGTAGAATTAGATTTTTTGGCAATCGGTGCAGAAGCCTGTTGTTCTTTGAATCCTCAATGAGACAGATACCTACCTGAGATGCTCTTGTCTTTTAGATAGTAATGAACAATATTCTGGGGCTCCTACAGGAGTATATGTAATTATAGTATGCAGTCAGTAGTTCAGAAGTGTGCTGGTTTTTTACAGGCTATTTAAGAGTTGTCTTTGGACCCAAAAGATGCACACAGCCCCTTGTGTTAGATACAATACAATGTAAAAGGGAGTTCCTGCTCATTAGATTTGCATGGTGTATGAACTAGAGATACTGTCGATAGTTGGACAACGGCTGCAGAATGACCAGCATATGTATAGCATGTACTGTCATAAATTGCTTTATGTATTTAATGTAGCAGATACAGGGACTTTATTTCCCCATCTGTTGAAATACTGCTCCCTCTGGAAGGGTACTTAGAGGATCATACGCATACTCTACTTAATTCTATAGTAATTACAACCATCACTAAAGCGAGATACCATTTCTAGTGTAAAATAATGGCATTACCTCTGATTTACAGTTCCTCCTGCTCATCTGCCAGACTCTGACTTCTTTAAATTGCAAGTTAAGGAAGTCACTATTTCCAAATCACTTTGGAAATCACTGTTACACGTGTGGAAAGGAAAATGCTCTTCTAGATAACCATCATCTATATTTACAGAAACCGGAACCAATATTTTATAAAAACTAATTTTTGTCATTAACCTTCTAACAGTGAGAAGGATTTCAGCCCCTCTGATTCCCTTAGGTTTTATGCTCCTTTCTGAGCTGAATTACCTGAATGCAAAATTCTCTGTAACCTGCCCAAAGTTGTTCTGCCTCATTTCTGCTTGCTGTTGAGTAGCTTCATTTTACTGGTTAACATTTTGTGCATGCAACTTGGTGAATTTTGTAAGCAGAGGTTAGTGTGAGATGGCTTCTTATGGAAAGCAGAACAAGTAATTAATTTCATCATAACAAAAGAAAATCTGAAGCATTTTAAAGACAGGAAAAACAAATTTAGATAAAGATAAAAGTGTGTTGTTGCTAATGATATTTGTGCTTTAAAATACGGGTATTTTCTTCTTATTTTTTTCCCCTCAGCTTTTTCCTGGCCGTCAGCCTGTGGTGAAGTTGTTAGAGACCTTGCAAGAGTGGCTAGTGAGCCTTCCATTAGACAAAATCCCTTATGATGCTATCCTAGATCTGGTCAACAACAAAATGCGGGTAAGCTGTTAGCAGTTTCCAGCGTAAAATACAGCATTAGTAAAGGATAAGATTCTATATAAATCTAAGACATCACTTACTGATAGCCCCTCAGTCATAATGGAGTTATAAGAAGGTTAAAATGAAAATAAAGTGAAATCATTACCGGAACAAAAAAATCCACATGAAGGAATTGAAATGAGAGAATTGAAATACACAATCCTGTCTCAGTTTTATAATGAGCAAGCAATCACTAAGACACATGGAAACACGTGTTCCCTGACGTCACCTTCAAATGATGCAAGGTTCCCAGCAGATATTTCTGAGGTGCCTTTGCTTGCTGTGCCTGCAGGATTCTCTTGAAGGTCAGAGTTTAAGCGATAGGAAATTTACCCATTGAAGTGGGTATTATTCCTGAAGAGTTTCCCAAAATACTCTTCTATCAGCGACTGTACGTTGTGTATCATGTAATATGTTTGCAAGAGGGATGAGTTTTGTATGGTCCATCAGAGTATCTCAGGCTTAAGGATTGTTACGAGTTTAAAATGTGTTTGCCTTAAGCATGAATTCATTTACAAGTGCAGAGAGTCATTTACTATTCTTTATCCTCGAATCAACTCAATTTCAAGGTAGGATCAGGTCCTAGAGCCACGTATATCTTAAATACTCTTTTTTTTTTTTCTTTTTTTTCCCCCCAGATTTCTGGGATATTTCTCACTAAGAAAGTTCAGTGGGTTGGCTGTCAGGGCAGCAGACCCGAGCTGAGAGGTTATACCTGTTCCCTTTGGAAGCTGTTTCACACCCTGACTGTTCAAGCTGCGCTGCGACCGAAAGCTTTGATAAATACAGGTGAGCAGCAGTTACATGAGACTCTTGAAGGGAAAAACAAATACGTGCAGCAGGTCTGCTGTGCAATAGAAAAAGTAATGGATTAGAGGAATTCTGTGTGTGTAAATACTCAATAAGTGGTGGCAGACAGTGGTGTTGGAGGCTCAGCTTTCAGGTTGGTACCAGCAGGGGTCAGAGCGCAGCTTCACTGCAGTGGGAAGGCTTTGAAAGAAAGGCTGGCCATTTGTCCTTGCTTAGAAACGTGGTAAATAAAGTGTGTGGCCTTAAAGATGGGAGCAATTAAAGCAGAAAAAAAGAGAGAGTTTCAAGCGAAGAAATTTCGAGCTACCTGAAGAGGGGTGAAGATTGTTCAGGTTGCACGGTTAATTAATTTGAGAAGAATGAGATCTAACGGTGCAGTTTGGTAGCTGTAAAAGCTATACATCCATTAGCCAATCCTGTAATTTTGTTTCTTAAATACTGAATGTTATGACTTGGAGGTTTTTTTGCTTAATGTACCTACTGCCCATTAATCTGTGTAGTGATAGCTAATTTGCAAGCACTCTGTAAAATTGCTTATTTTTAGACTTGCAGCATCTTGTGAAGCTGCATGTTTATATTCTGGTGATGATTCCTATTTTAAAAACGTGCTGAATATATAATCTGTTTTCTTTACACAATGGAATTAATAATGCTAAACTATTGGCCTTCATATGTTTTTATTCTTGCCAGGAAAGTGCTTATAGTTTTATTCAGTTTTCATTTAAAACCTTTTTTTAATGTCTTTTCCAAGGAATATAAGAATAGAATGTTACTAGATCATAAAACTCAGAAATTTGCAATTTGTCAGTTGCTGATTTAAAAAAAACATCAGTTACTTGATTGTTTCAAATTATGTCTACACATATTTGTCCAGTGTTACTTGCAATCACAGTGGAAATATCTCAATTCTTAATATTGAATCTCCTGCAGAATAGAAATTTTTTTTTCTGATAGCTAATAATCCTGTTGTTGATTTTTCTTTCTCTCTTTGTTTTGTCTTGTTTTGTTTGTAATTCATGGGACAGTACCTTGAATCCCTTTAATTTAGTAATGTGCTCTGTGTGGTGAGTTTGGGGGTTTTTGAACTGGGTGATTATTAGCTGTTCAACAGCATCACGCATAAGTTAAATTTCCCCTTTTGTCCCTGTTGCCAAAAGTGTTTTAATTAAAAAGTAAAAACGTTCTTAATATTTAGCTATACAAAATCGCATCTTAAATTGCTCCCATGTTTCAGGCATGACCTCCAGCCAGTCTGAAGTTAAAAATACATTGTAGAACCTGAAAACTCTTTGGCACACTTAACCATCGATTTAAATCGGGACAAATATGTGATGATCACTTCTTATGGCGAAAGAATTGGGTCAGTCTGAGACTGTCGGATTATGTCTTGGGAGGTTTTCCTCTCCTTATTGCTTGTTTAAATCCCATCTACTAAAAAGCATGATGTACTCCCTAATCCTTCCCACCACAGGTAGGGTTTTATGGTTCTTGTCCACTTTAAAGATTAGGGTTACCCTGAATTGCAGTAGTTTGGGAGGAAAGAGAAAAGGAGGATTACACGATGATACATGGCAGATGTTAATAGAAGATTCATCTCTGGGCTGATAAAAGAAAAACAAACAAAATGAGCCATTTTGCAATTGTTTGTTTTCTTTTTAAAGCAGCTGTATTTTTCTTGATAGTTTCCTCTACTTGCAGAGTCTGGCAGTTGATGTGAACTCGCTGTGGCTTTCTTGATATAATGTTTTTATTGGTTTATATTTGACTTGTTTTAATGTTGAACGGTGTAATTTGAACCTGCAGTGGGATCAGCAGAAGGGAATCCAAAGGAAGCCTGAACAGGACTGCTCACATCATTGTGAAAAATCATTGTATATAAAAGGGTGTATAAAATCATTGTAGAAATCTGGTCCTGAGGATGCTTAATTATATGAAATGTGGGTTTAGGTAATAGGATCTGTTAGTGTGAATAAGACAGGCTTGAGGATTATTTTAAAAAATATATATATCTGAATTCTTTTTTAATCTGTGCTGAATTTGAAATACTTCCCCACAGAAGGAATTTTCAAGAGCGTAGCATTGCACAGGAGAACAGATATAATTAAATTGATGTATGAATCTCACTTCCTCCCTAAAGAGGTTGTTTGCAAGTAGTCACTTTTGTTGTGGTTTTTTCTAAACACACATTTAGTATACATGCTAAAACTGTTTTGCCTGAAATTTGCTTCAACTTTCCAAAATTATTTTTCAGCTTTTCTTTTAATACTGTAATTTAATCTGCTTTAATCTCGTAGCTTTTATTTATACATGCCTGTTCAATCACAGATATTGAACGTCTGAGTAGAGATTGTTTGCTTTTTATGATTTCTTTTTGTCTCCAAAGACTTTTTTTGTTGCTATGTTTAAGAATATAATGTTGTTGTTCGAAATCAAGGTGTTTATGACAATCTTCATGCATTTCTCATTGCATTTCTTTATGCAATCTTCATGCATTCTCATTTCAATCTTCTCATTTCTCATAGCAATTAAGTACCCTGATAGTTTTGAATAGGTTTTGTTGAGTTTTTGGGTTTTTTCCCCCAAAAACAATACACGTACAGAGGGCATATGTCCTACCAAACTGCTTGTTATTCACTACTGGAACAGGACATTGAGCAAAGCACCATAACCCTTTACTACAGAACCTACAAAACCTGCGTTGTAAATTACTGGTGGTGGAGGTGTTCAACCGCGGGAGTCGGTAATTTGATCAATCTGCATCATAAAACGTGTTTCATTTGACAAGAGTGTGTTTGTGATAACGTATAGTACATTTGTAAGTACATTTTGGCATAATTTACTAGGTCAATTAAGCATGAATCAGAAAATCTGTGAGACAGAGATGAAGCCATTAGGATTTTAAGGAATTATATCAGGTTTTCAAGCCACTTACAGATGTAGGGACTACCTGCTGTCACAGTAAGAGCCTAGGACAAAGTTTGCAATCTTATAAAGACTGTAGTTTACTTCTGAATAAAATAATGATTATTTTTTTTTTTTCACTATCTTTAGTGTAAAAGTTGAATGTTACAGAAAGAATAATATGTATGTATTTATTTTAGGAGGAATTTAGGATACAAACAGGTATCACAGCCACCTTGTGAAGTACTTATTAGTGGGGTTTTGACTCTTGTTGGGTTTTTTTACTAGCAAGGTCACCAGAACTTAGTGTCTGAGCCTAAATGTAATGGTGATTGTGTAACGTATATACTCATTTAATTATTGGGCCAGATAACAGAGAAAGTGTGGGCTTCCAGAGGAATTGTGTGAAATACAGGCAGTGTGGGACTTTGCATATTTTAACAGTTTCGAAATGTACACTCATAATGGGCTTCTGAAAAAATTGGAATGTCTGATTTTCATTTAGCTAGGGTTGTTCCCCCCTCAAATTGTAAGATATTCTTTGAAAGGAGAAATGTCACTGTAAAGAACACTTGGCCTTTAACTCTTATTTTAAGGTACTGTTCAGGGTAACTTTGAAGACAGTTGTGTAGACTAAATGGTTTAGGATGTATTTGTATAAACAGCTACTTTGCATTTTTAATAACACTCACTCACCTAGCATTTTTTGAATCTTAGTGGTGTTTGAAATAATTCCCTTGTAGTTGTGTCTGATATCCCAGACAATCTTTCAAAACAGTATGTTTTCCAGTGTACTGTTTGAGATCACCTTAAACCCTACATTTGAAATCAAATTATTTGGCAATGAATAAATAAATGTCTCACCTCAACTACTTAGTGACAATATTAAATAAGTATTTTGTTGGGGAGCGATATTTCTTCTAAAAACTGTGCGAAGCTTTTAATCCCTCTGATATTTGTGACTTACTGAGGTGTAGGCTCTGAGTGACGACGTGTGTCCTGTGGATATCTTTAAATTATAGAAGTGGCTGGTTTCTTACATCTGAAGTGGAGGTGTAAATTTGCATGGGACAAGAAGGGAGCAGCATTTCCTTTCCTTTTCCCACAGTTCACTTTTATGTGCATTGAAGTGCCTGTGTTGAAGCTGTGTTTGCCCAGATGGTGCTATCTATCATTTGTTTTCCTAGGTCTTGAAGACAATCCTCAAATAGTGCTGCAGATCATGCGGAGATACATTCACCACTTTTTTGGATGCAAGGCTTGTGCTCAGCATTTTGAAGAAATGGCTAAAGAGTCCATGGATTCTGTGAAGACCTTTGACCAGGCTGTTCTCTGGCTCTGGGAGAAGCACAACGTCGTGAATAACAGGCTCGCAGGTATGGAAGGGGCTGGCTTAGGAAAACCCACCAAAGGTAGCTGTGTCTGAAAGACAAGGCTATGGTGTGTTGTACAACGGGGTTTACATTTGAACAAAGAGAAATGCAAATTATGCTCTGTAACATGAGTTTAAAACGACAGGAAACTGTTGTTCCAGCTTGTGACAGTCCTTTATTAAATCCTGACTTCAAAAGACTAACTCCCCAATTACAGTGGTGTGCTGGAAAAGATATACAAAACAAAACCTAGAGCATCCCAATCATTTGTAACTCTGAAGCCCAGCACTGACCTTTGTGTGAGTGAGAAATAGACACTTGAGATACGCTCTCCTCCAGTAACAGAGTTATCTCTTATGATGTATAATGAAAAAAACTTCATCATTCTCAAAGATACTGTTTCTTCTGAGATTTCACTTGTTGCTTGATGAGGGGATCTTTTCGGAGTACAAATCAAAGCCTTTTCAAAAGGGAGCAATACTTAGTTCAGCTACTTAGCAGTGAATAAAACATGATTAAATTTCTTTCTGTAGCAGTTTAAATAGATGGTAAAACCTGTCTTCATTTTGTTCTGGAGAGATGCTGTATAAAAAATGATGATAATTGAACAGGAGACTTTCCCAGGATAAAAGAGTCTATTAGCAGATCAGCAACTGAATAAAATAAAATTACTGTATGAAGAAAATCTGTTCCCCCACTAGATTGCTATGTTTTCAGTTAGACTAAAAGTACCGTTAAAATACTGGTTGTATTTAATCCGTTCTGTTCTGGGGATATCAAGTAACTAAAGCACTAAAGAAAATTGGTTTCTCTTTGCACTTAATCCCTGTCTGCTGTTATGGATCTGTGTAATGTAGCATTAGTTACAATTTAAATATGCTATATTGTGTTTATATTATGGTTATGCTGAATTCCCAAGATTTATGAAGCACTAAATACTGTTGTGAGTATAAACAGTTTTGTCTCCTTTCTCCAAGGAGGAAAAAGTAAATGAAGAGGTATTAAATAAAAACATCCCTTAGTATTTGTTACTATTGCCAGGTTGGACACAGAAAAAGGTAGTCCCGTTGAGCAGTGGAGTAATATACTTATTTAGAACATTAACTTATTGAAAAACTCACATGGATATTGATTTAGATGATGCAACAGCCGGCTAAAATGCCCTTTTAGTAAGAAGTATAAACATACTGGAATAAATAATAATGTTAAATTATGCTTTTTAAGTTCAGTAAAATTTCTCTTTGGGACAGTGACTTATTTTAATCCTTAAAAGCTGCATCTGTATTTCTGGTAATATATACAGCTTTCAACAGGAATGGTGTTTGACAGGTCAATGAAAACACCTTGGCACAGCCTTCAAGTGCGAGTCCTGAGATTGTTGTATGTAGCTCTGCCCTTAATATTTTTTTCCTGTTGCTTTAGAACGTATGTTTCTATTAGTAATCTTACCATAAAATGTTTTGTTTCTACTTTCTCTACTGAAACAAATTGTTTACTGAGTAATCTTTGAGATAGCTGAGAGGCAGACTTGTGCTCTTACTTGTAAATATCAATATTTTTAATCATCCTTTGAATCCCTAAAAAATATTTTGCTCAAAATCATGGGAGAGTTTCCTGCCTTTAAAAAGGATAAAAATAAGAATAAAATGAGAATCTATATTTATTTCTGAAGTATTTTAAGTATTAGCATACTAATAACAATAAGCTGAATAAATTAGCTTTTTTACCAGGTGGAGACTTTTGTTCTGAAAATTCTCTCCAGCCACGTTTCAGAATTGTTATGTTTTTAGAGCAAAGTGTACCACTAGCTACAGCATTCGGCTCTTCGCCGTCGAGACAGAGTGGTCACAGCTATGAGCCACTGAAATGCTAAAATTAGATCCAGTTCAAGACATTTATATGTTTAAATGCTAAAAAGCAAGCTGAAATATACATCTTAAATATGATAACGGCTTTTAAAGTACTGAAAATATTTTGCTGTAAGGCAAGCTATGGAAAAGCAAGCTTAGGATGGAATGGTTCACAATATAGAAACATGAAAATATCTGTAACTCTTTGGCCTTGGAGCTGTTTGCTGCAAACCAGGCTTCGGGATTAAAGAGTATTGAGTGCAAAAGAGCAGTTTGTTTTGAACCATAATTCAAGTTAACCCCTGAAAGGCCCAGATGGTGGTGTTTTCATGCCTTCTGAAAAAAATAGCTATTGCAGCATCTTGTTGTATTAGAATTTGAATGCTACAGCTTTTACTGAGAGAAAAGGAAAATTATTATGATTTAGCGTTTGTATTTTGAAAGAGGAAGCAATACTTCAGAACGTAACTGATGCATCCATAAGAAAATTTATGAATTTCCAAATCTGTCCGTGATTGTCTTCCATTTAATACAAACATTATGTGCTGTGGGCTTTATTTTTTCCCAGCCTCACTATTTATAAGTGGAAAATGCTCTCTGTGGTTTCCAGCGAAGTGTCTGATGGTTCAGCTCTCTGAGTTCATTTGCTTCTGATATTTTTTTCTCCTCCCAATTAGGTGATTTGACTGAAGATCCGAAATTTCCCAAAGTTCAGTGGCCAACTCCAGACATTTGTCCTGCGTGTCATGAAGAAATTAAAGGATTACACAGCTGGAATGAAGCCCAAGTTCTACAGTTCATGAAGCATCACTATAACGGTGAAAATATTCTATATAAATACATTCAAAGCCAGACTGACTCCAGTGAAGCCGACCAGGGTGATGCAAGGGAGCTGAAGGACAAAAGCCTACTGAAGAAACCCAGTGGAAACAGAGAAAATCAGATCCAGGATAAAGAGAAGATCCTGGATTCAGAATCGAAGGCGTTAGATAAGCTAATAGCAAATCACGGACCTGGCAAAGATAGTGGTAAAAGTGCAGCTGAAGCTGCTGACCTTAAAGAGACGAAGCAGGCCCTGTCTTTCTTAGGGATTGGATTTTCCAACATAGACATGAGTCTGTGTGTCATACTGTATGTTGCATCATCCTTATTTTTAATGATCATGTACTTTTTTTTCCGAATGAGATCCAAGCGGTGGAAAGTGAAGTATTATCGTTCGTCTGTATAGAAGTTTAAATTGGAAACAAAGTTTTCATTGTGTGTGGCTGTTCAGTACCAGATACAGCTTTAATATTTATGATCAGGGATTTTATATACAGTATTCCTTGTAAAACCCCTTTGTTCCCAAGTAATTTCACAAGTGTTCTAGCTTAATAGATGGAGCTCGCTGTAAGGACCTTAATCTTTAACTGAGGCACATAGTGCTATCATAAAATGTCCAGTGAAGTAAGCATTGCATTTTTCAGTTAAAATTTTTCCATGACTTACCACCTACATCCTTTACTCATTTTCGGAGTAAACATTACATTATGCAATCAACTGTGCCTGGTTTTAGAAGGAAATTGGATATTGTTTGGTGTACTTCAAGCCAGTTGTGTGTTTTTTTTTTTAATTTATCCAGAGGTGATTTTACCTACCAGAGTACTGAACAGTTCTGCTGTTGCCTTGGCTGCTTCATTTAGAGAAGCAAGAATTCTGATTATTTTTTTTTTTTTTTTCAAGAAACAAGAGTTCTCTTCTGATTAAATCAATTCCAAACCTATGTGACTTTCTGAAGTATTATTTACACTGCATATTTAAAGTAGAAAGCATTACATGTTCAAATGAGGCTTCCATTCTCCCATGCATTCCAGCCAAGGATGTGTGTGTCTCTGCTGGGATGAGGTTTTTGGGGTGGTTTTTATCTCAACAAGCAGCCTGGTTGTGATTGCTAATGGTGTCATCTATTTTAATAGAGTTTAGATGTAAGCAAGGCCATGCTCAGACCCAGTGCTTCACTTGCTCCTGTTGGATGTGTTAATGGAGCATTTTAGATTACACACCTCACTCATTTATGAACCAGAACAGTAACTAATTATTGTGTTATCCAGATGGAAACCAATTCTGATGAACTCCAGTAAAGGGAAACCGTGTTTTTAGTGAAGGACAGGGAGACTCTGTTTGCAGTATGACAAGCCAGAACAAATTTACAGATCTGGAAAGGCCAAGTTCCTTATGATGTTGGAGAACTCTACAATATAGTAATTTTTCTTCTTGTAAGGTGAGGTTAACACTTCATTTGGAACTTCTAGCTCTGAGCTCTCAGAGTATCACCTGCAGGCTGTAAAGTTGTCTGCACAGGACCTAGAACAGCCCATTTCTCTTGCCCTGCTGCTGGAGGGCTTCTGTTTGGGTCAGGAAGGGTTCAATGGTGAAGTCCAAGAGCTGCTCCGTTCTGGGATGTGGCAGCAACTGGGAACATGGCAGTTGCCTTTACAGATCTGTCTGGGGTCCTGGCTGGCAGCAATTAGAAGAAACCATGAAAACAGTTGTAAAATTACCATTTGAAATGGGGAGTTCCTTTCTGATCCTGGCTGTGGGAGATAATTCACGTCCTGGATAGTGAAGTTTATAATCCTATCCAATGTAATTGAGCATGTTCTAGTTATCCATTACCTAATCTTTAGTTAATCCTAATAGGTTTTGGCCTCAATGTTTTCTTGTGGCAGTGAGTTCTACAGATTAATTATGTTATATAAAAGGGCTTTTCCTTTCAATTCTACATTTGCAACTTTTAATTTAATTGACCGTTTGCTAGCTCTTCTGTTACGCGAGAAGGAATAAATAGTCCCTGGCCAACTCATTCTATTTATACTGTTAGTGTGTCCTCCTCTTATTTCCATCGTAAGCCCTAGCATAAAAAGTTTAAAGCCTAGCAACAAGAATGGTCTAAAAGCACAAAAACTCAAACAGGGTTATTTTTTCATAATCAAATCTTGTTTGTTCACAAACCTGAACGTTTCTGACACGACTTGCTGCAGCTTCGAAGCTCAATTTTGTTATTCCAATGGGAAGATTTACTGTCCCTTGTTCCTTAAGTTTATCAAAATAACATACACATAAAGTAATAACCTTCCGTAGTTATTGTAAACATGTGTCAGAGGCCAAAAATTCTCCATTCACATGGCACTGTGAGTCTGAGCTGCGCAGAGCCGCGTTATCTGTGGGTTTTTTCTTAAGCCATCGTCGCTGTTTATTGTACCCACCCGATGGCTCCTGCTCTGGTGGGGGGAAACTTGACTCCCTGCTCTCTCCGTGAGGCTGGGACTGGTTCCTGCCTCCTGCTGAGCTGGGGGCACCTGTGGGCAACTGCTGCTGCCTCTGGTCTAGTGGGAAAACTCCTCTTTTGGTGTTAAATCTGCGACATTAAGTCAGTCGGTGCTTTTTAAGGACCCTCACTGCTCAGGAGTTCTGGCACAAGGAGTGATCGTGCATCTCATTTCTTTAGGAATTTAGGAGTCCCTCTCGTTATCCGTATAACACCTGGGCTTGAATAGTGAAACAATCTGTAAGGAACTGGAAAAACAGTGAACCAGGGGTGGAAGGTGGTCCAGGCCACTGGGAAGGTGGTGCCACTTGCTTTGTGCTGGAATCCAGGGAGAGGTCCCAGGAGGAGGCTCGTTAAGAGGAAAGCCCAGAGCTTCCAAATTTAGACTTGAAAATCAGACAACTTTTGAGTGACCTAAGCTGGGGAGATGCTGGTATCAGCCAACAGGCAAGAAAGTTTTGCTTCTCAAAAAAAAAAAAAAAAAGCAAAAACCACCCAAACATCAAAAAACCCCAAACTGCAGTGAAGCAAGTGTTTGATCTGGAAAATGTGGTCGATTTCTGTGGGACTGTTGAGCGTCCTGTTGTCAGTATCACTGCACGTTTGGAGGCTGAGAATCAGTCACTGCTGCTGGTGTTTAGAACTTGACCAAATACCCAGCCCTGAGCCCGTTAGCTTTGACTCATTCTGCTTATTTTCATCTGCAGGTGGAAACAAAAGACTTTGAAGGTTTGTGTGGGTGATTTTGCCATTAAAACAGCAGCAAACGTGGGTTTGGATTATGCTATTATTTTTTTTTTTTTTTTTGCTACACACCATTAATTTTCACGTTGCTGTGCCCCTGCTGGAAACAAAATGATCCAATCCTCAAACCTCCAGTGTTGTGCTTTTGTTTCCTTAGAGTGAAAAAGCATGAAATTAGGATGTTGCTTATCTGTGTTGGTGCTCTAACTGGCCAAGACTTTCCCTTCAATGGCCTGTAGTGACCTCATCTGGAAAAGTTTTCTTGACTTTGAATTCAGCTGTGTAAATCTTGGTTTACTTATTCATATTTTCTATCACTATAATGACAAAATACATCCTTTTAATGTACTTTTAACTGTAAAGATACGTTCTATCTGCTGGGGAATGTGTGAGACTGCTCTGCCATGGTGCGTTATTGGTGGGCGAGTTACAAAAAAAGTGTTTCCTTTTTAAAAATTGCCTCAAAGCACCATCTCCTCCGTCCCGGAGGTTTTATTTGTGGATTGTGTTGTACCACAGAAGTTTCTGCAGTGCCACTTCCATTCATGGATTGTACTGTGCTGGCAGCAGTCATTTCTGAGAAGGATTTCTTGGCCCGTTGTAATTCATGGAGCTGCCTTTGCTCTTCGGATGTTTTTAAAGAGGAAATATTAAACCTGCAGAAAATAAAATGAATACTGTAGAATGTGCCAGGAGAGAAAGGAAAGCTGCTAAAGAAACCCAATGATGTTATTCCTGAGAACTCTTTAGTTTTTCATTGCCAGGAGTGTATCCATCCTGCTGGTCCTGCTCAGAACTGGACGGGAGCTACCAGTTTAGTGAGAGGTCCTGGGTGTATTGTCTGGGTCTCTGTATTGCATACGAGGTGTTGAAAATAGTAAATATAACAGTTTGGTAATTTAAATGGTTTATTTATTTTAATTCAGTAACTTCACGTGTTCAAATCTTGTCTGTTTACTCAGTCTCATACCTCTCTAGGAAGGAAGAGCGACCGTTTTGTACTAAATTGTAAACTAATGTGCTTGTTTAAAATAAATTGCAAACATTTGGGCAAAGTGGTGTGTTTGGGCTTTTTTAGCTGTATTTCCACGTTTCAGACCTAAACTATCGCAGGGCTAGCGTGTGCCCACGTCTGTTTCAGACCATATTGGTCATTTTATGTAGGTACTTAATTTTGAAAAGGACCAGGAACAGGTGAATTTTACTCCATTTCTTTCACTCTTCTGTAACTTTAGAAAACGCCGGTGAATGTTTGCAGGAGTGATGGAAAAACTGTTGGTTTCTGACCAGTTGTTTGCACGTTCTCTCTGTATACACACACACACACACACAAACAAACAAACAAACCTTCCTTTCCCTTAAACCTGAACCTCTCTCCTTCGGCCGGGAGGATGCAAACCTCCCCTGGGTGCTTCTTCCTGCACCTCCTGCTGGTGTCTGGGGTGTCACTGGGGAGGTGGGATGGGAGATTTGTTAAAAATACTGATCATCTACCTGCAAAAGTACTCCAAAAGATTTTTGGAGGTCAGTGATGTTTCTAAACCCGTAGATAAGGTTCTTGGAAGCTTGGCACTGCAGCCCGCTTCTCCAGGGGAACACGCGCTTCCCTGCTGGGCTGTGACCTTGCCTGGAAAACAGGGATGTGGGGAACCTGAAGAAGGGGCTCATCACCTAAACATCTTGATGGAAAAAGCAGACATCAGCCCTGCTGGAGCAGGGGTAGACGTGCCCTGTCCTTACCACCCAATGTTAATAAATCTGCTGTCTCGTTTTAAAGAGGTGCAGGCTCTGACACCTGCTACAACCTGAGCAGGAGAGCATCCAAAGTGGCTCTTGTGGAGACCTGCCGAGATGGTGGCACAGTGCGAGTGACCCATGGGGCTGAGAACATGAGGCTGTGCAGGGCTGGCACGTGCCACTGATGGTCCTGAGTGAGACATTGGCCACTGCTCTCCATCCCGCACAGCCACGACTGCCACGCCCCTGCCCCACGCACCGGGGAACCGCCACCACCCACACACACTTTCTTACGCTGCTTGCTTAGAGGATCAGCCTAAAAATCCACTTATAAAACTGAGCTTAAAAGAGTCCATGTGGGTCATCCCCTGCCCCCTAGAAGCTCTTCATGGTCCTGGGGAGGGTCGAGGTGCCCAACCCAGCAGGTGGTACCCGGCGTTCCTGCAGCACGGGGCTGGGGATGCTCTGCCCGTGCTGGACCCGTACCCCAGCAGGACTCAGCCTGACATTTCTAGGAACTTTAGCTGGAGAGCCCCGATCCCAGTCCCCAAAATGTCTGCCTGCATTATTTTCCAACTGTATGGGTCTGAGCTGTCCCCCCACCAGATCAACCATCAGAGGGGACAGCCCTGGCCCAGCCGTCGACTCCTGCAGCCCTGTTGCTGTGCCGGATCCGGAGCGGGCAGGAAGGCAGCCTGGCACCCAGGGGTGCTCAGCAGGGCTGTGGGGCCAGTGTGGGTGCCACCAGGTTAGGGTCTGAGGGTCTCGGTGCTGGGCCCACTCCCCAGGTGCCCCCATGGGTGGGCGAAAGTCCCCCGTGCTGCCGTCCTGCAGGAACATATGTGTGTTTGGAGGCTCCCGCCCCTAAGCTGCTTTTATTAATTTGTAATCCCCTGCGAGCAGGAGGTAAAGGGATTGGGGGGATTAACGGGCTCACAGTAACAACCACAATTATCAGCTCCGGCTGCCTGGGACGAGCGGGGCACACACGCACGGGGCTGCCCACCCCGGCACACACACACGTGCCCACACCCCTCTGCACACACACACCAACACCTCCACACACGCAGACACACAAGCACCCGTGGAACAGAGCACGAGCCCCCAGGTACAGACATGGGCACACCCCCCTGTGTGCACACACCCACGGGGTGCCCAGGCTGGCACACCCCCCCTTTCCACACACAACCACACACACAGACTGCACACAAACAAGCACACACCCACGCACACACACACAACTACACCCGCAGCCCTGCGTGTGCACACCCCTGCACCCCACGTGCACACCCCTGTACCCCACGTGCACACCCCTGCACCCCATGTGCACACCCCTGCACCCCACGTGCACACACGTGCTCCTGCACACGCACCCGCACACCCCCGTGTGCACATGCAAATACACACATGAACACAGACGGGCAGACACACGCGTCCACGTCCAGCCCCGTCCTCAATTAGTGCAATTAACCTCCGCCAGCCTCAGGGCACTGATTGCCACGGGGCAGACACGACTCCTCACCCGTTACCTCTCCGCGCTTATTGACTAATTAGTGTCGGGGGAATAATCCCCCCCCCGGCTCCCCACGGGCAGCCCCGGGGAACGCCCGCGCCGCGGGGGCAAACGAAATCCGGGCGCGGGGGAGGGCGGGGGGCGGCCGGTTTCGGGGGGATGCTCCCCCCGACGGCGACTCCCCCTGCCCCCCTGTGTGCCGCCCTCGAGGGCTTTGCGGGGGCTTTGCGGGGGTTTTGCGGGGCCGCTTTGCGCCCGAGGGCGGCGGCTGCAGCCTTGAGCCCACGCGGCGACCCCGGCCACGCGTGGGACGTGAGGGGGACAGTGTGCGTGTGTCGTGTGTGTGTCCCCCCCGCCCCCTCCCGCTTTTGTGATGCTAAAGAGCCCCGCGGTGAACCGCGGCCCAGCTGCGGCCCGGCCCGACGGCGCGGTGCCGCCCCCGACCCGCCC